GTCCCTGTGCCCTCTGGGTGCTGGCTGAGCACTAGAGATCCATCCCAAAGACATGGGGCACATCCTGCATGCCCAGTACTGTGACTGTGCTCTCACCAGGACCCCGATGGGGCAAGGAAACAGCCCATGGCATGAAAAGCTCTACTTGTGTAGAGCTTAGAGCAAGGTGAAATGCTTGGCAAATAAACCAGGGAGATCTGTGGATTTTCTTCCCCCACTTCCCAGAAGAGACCCTGGCACCTTTCCCTGGTGAAGCACAGAGGCTCAGAGATGGACTTTTGGGACTGGATGTTTCTGTTCATTCCCTAATTGTCCCCATCCCACCACAACAGCACTGGACACCAAGCCAAGGTCTGGCTGCACCCCAGTCAGGTTCACACCTACCCTGCTGCACAGGTGAGGCCTCCTCCATCTCTTCCCCTGCCACACTCTGTAAGGAGGGACAGCACAGGTTATTTCTGCAGCTGGGGGCCTTTGCTGTGCCATTCTCCTGCTCTGGCTTTCTCCAGGGAGCTGCACTTGGGGCCAGGACTTGTTCCAGGGCAGGACCAAGGGGCCACCCCCCAGTGCTGTGGCACCATGGGCTGGGATGGAGGGGTTTTACATCCCAGCAAGGTCCAGCTCCCATCCCTGGCCCAAACACTGCTCAGGACACTGGGGAAGGTTAAGCTCTGACATGGCTCCAAAGGAGTGGTTATCCAATGCCTCTGCTCCCAAAGAGGGGTCAGGGGCACAGGGAGTGGCTACATCCTTCCCCATGGAGCCCCAGGGGTAAATAAAGCAGCCAAGGCTCTGAGCAATGGCCCTTCACGAGACACCTCCCCTGTCCCAGAAGCCCCCCCAGAAGAGCTCTGGCTCAGGGCAGCTCCCCAGCAGAGCACACACTCACCTCTGGAGAGCTGGTCTCCCTCAGGACCAGCTCACCCCCGCTCAGCGCCGGCTGCGAGTCGGAGTCCTCGGAGAGCTTCTCCTCGTCCTCCTCGTGGATTGGGGACGAGGGGGACCGTAGTGTGCTGTGTGGCAAGAGAAACTCCATTTGCAGGGAGCCACCAGCACCACAGCTCCTGGAGGATCTGGGGCAGCACAAGCCCACAAGTAGGAGCTCCCCGAATTCACCAAGGCCTCCTGTATTGGCTCCATGGGGAGCGGCAGCACAGCAGAACAGAGCCAAGGAGTGCTGAGCTTTGGCACAGCAACACAGCCTGGACAAACCTGCTTTTGCACGAGGCTCAGGTCCCACACTGCTCCTCACACCTTCTGGACTCCCTTCCCGGGGGAAAACTGGGCTGGAGCACAGGGAGGAGTGCCAGGAACAAACCCAGGCTGATCCTATCTCTACAGCCCTGCATCCTCACCTACACCCTCCATCCCAAAGCAAAAACAAGAGCCTTCAGACAACTACAGGATCTCAACTGAGCTCTTTGTGCTCTGAATTCAGGTCACTTCTCTCCCCATTCTTTTGCCCCTGTGGAGCTCCATGGAAAGCTGAAATCCAACAAAGTTTGGATGTCAAATGCAAATTGAGGGACTAAGTGCATTGGGAAGTAGACATTTCCATCCAAAGTCTTCCTTGTGAGAGTGGTGAGGCCCTGGCACAGGTTGCCCCAGGTTGCCCTGTGGCTGCCCCAGCCCTGGAAGTGTTCAAGGCCAGGTTGGACAGGGCTTGGAACAACCTGGGACAGTGGAAGGTGTCCCTGCCCATGGCAGGGGGGTGGAATGAGATGAACTTTAAGACCACTTCCAGCCCAAACCACTCCATGATTCTAAGATTAAATTCTCCTTGCTAAAAATACTATTTCTTTTGGTGGCACAGCCAGCCTTTAGGAGACACAAGCTGTAACCCCAAGCTGAACAGAGGGATGATGTCCCAGTTCTCTCTCTGGCACGAGTACCTGCTGGCCTCCTAAAATCCCGAGTCAGCAGCGAGGGGACCAGCCAGAGCCCTCTCCTGGCTCGAAGTGTATGTGGCCACAAGCCCTCAGGGCTTGCAGGAGTGCCCCTTGTCCCCATGCTGACCTGTCTGGAGATTTGCTGCGCTTGCCCTTCTGGTGGCCGCTCTCCAGGGCTCTGTCCATGCCCACGAGCGGGCGGCTGGCGGGAGGGATCCCATCCACCACCCCGGAGTAGCTGATCTCATCGTACAGAGGAGCAGAGGGGATGGAGGGGGAAACGGAGCGGAGCCCATTCAGCGCTTCCAGCAAGGAAATGGGCTCATAGCCGGGAGGGATGTTGTCAGAGCTCTGCGGGCAAGAGAGAGAGGGGACGTTGGGAAAACATCACCAGGCGGGAACCCCCCTGGAAAAGGGAGGCCCTGCTGCCACCCAGCCCTGCCCTGCCAGGCAGCCCATCCCCACATCCACCTCTCCACAGCACCTCAGCTCCTTCCCCTGCAACAGCCACTCATTCCCTCAGGGCTGTAAGGCTGATGATGCTCCAGGCAAGTTTTCAGAGCGCTGCCCAGAGACTGGGCATCCCAGTGAGCTGGATGGTGGCTGGGCAGCTCTCTGATGTACTTTCAAGAGCTGGGCAAGGAGAGTGAGAAAGTGGGTTTCCGAAAAGCTGCTATAAAATACGTTTGGATTTTTTCTCCCAGAAGTTCCTCCAATGGTTCAGAGACTCTTCCAGCTCAATGAACACCTCACTTGTGCCTCCAGCCAAGGAACATGCAGCACCAGTGCCACCAAGACAGAGTTGAAGGAGGGAACATGTGCACCACCAGCTGATGGTTCTCAGAGCCTACACCACTTCCACTTCTCCCATGTCCTCCCAGCTGCTAATGGTGGCTCCCTGCACAGTCACCTCTGCTAAAGGGCAGGAAAGGGATCACAGAACCACTGAACCCACAGAACCACTGAACCCATAAGGGAGGAGGGAAAGCCACACCAATTCCCATTCTCCCTGTAACTCATGAAGCTGCCAGTCAAAGGAACCCTTGCAAAGCCATTAAACCAACACTGGTTAAAAACCCTCCTGATCATAAAGATCCTGTGGACTCAGGGACAAATGGGGTTTATGCTGCAACCCAGGAGGCCATAAAGAGATCAGCCCAGCTTGATGCAAACAAAGAGGCAACACTGCAGCAGTCCAGACTGCATTAAACTGAGCTGTTCCAGCCCTGTATCCTCAGGGAAGTGGTTCTAAGTTGTGCCTAAGATGGCACATTGCTGCTAAGCCTGGCCATGAACTCTTGTGAAGGCCTGATGTCCCTGTCACACAGCAGCAGAGGAGCCTCCCCAGCAGCCTGTTCCATCACAGCCACTAATCTGGTGTGGGTTCAGTGCTGAACTGACTCACCTGTGGTCACAGGAGGAATTAGGTCTGATGGGAAGGGTCAATCATTGACCCTCACCTCAGTATTGGTCCTGTGCTGGTTTGAAGAGAACCAGCTCAGCTCAGCTGAACAAGGGATCGGCTCCCAGCTGCTGCCAGCTGTAGGTGGTGGGGCCAAAAGCCACCTCCAAAAGACCTTTCATCTCCAGACAGCAGTTCAGAGGTGCTATTTTGTCGACAGAAAAGTCACAGAGACAAACTCCCCTGGCTCATGTTTGGGACTTTTTCTCCTGCCTGTGCAGACTGGAGCCTGCAGGTTCAAAGGCTGCTCATTTTGGGTTGTTGTGGTGAAAGCTCAGGTTCCATGGCACAACTCAGAGGCTGGAGGATTTCTCAGCCAATGGCTACGACACCCTCACTGCAAGTTACTGAGCTTTCAAACAACCCTAAGAGACACTGCTCTCTTCTGGGACACTTACACCACCCAGGAGCACTGCTGGACACTGGAGGAGGCTTGCAGAGAGCCAGGTCGTGCCAAAATTGCAAGAGCCTCATTACCTGAACCCTGCCTGGTTTTCTCCAGACCTGACAAGCCCACCAAGCCACGTTCCTCGTAACACCGAGCATCTAGGTTGGCTTGAGCAAAAGAAAACCTCCTTGATATCAACAACAGCCATAGCTGTATCTTATGGGAGTACACAGAGGGCACAAACAGAACCTTCTGACCTGGGGCCTCCTTCACCTTTCCCTTTCCCAGCTCCTGGTCCCCCACTGTTGCCATTCATGCTGTTCCCAGCACAGTGTTCCAGTTACTCAATCCCACACCAACTCGAAGAGTCCCCAGACAAGACAAGCTCCATCCCTCCTGTTTCTGTAAAAGCAAATCAGCCTCTTGCAGCCAGTGTTCCTGAAGGCAAGACCTGCTCCAGCTGTGCCTCTTTATCTACCTCTACATCCCAGCACCGGGCTGGAAACCACACCAGGATGTGCCCACACCAAACTGCCGAGGGGATGAGACAAGTGCAAGGAAGCTTTTGGGTGAGCCAAGGGGACAGCAGTTTGCCCACAGTCCTATGAAACTGTGAAAATATCTTGGTCAGGGACCATAAATCATCCAGGCTCAGGACCTGGGGACAGTCCCTGAGAGCCAGTGTCAGACCCTTGTGACAAGCTGCTTCCATCTCGCTTGTTGTCCACAGGCAAACCAAGGAGGTCAGTGATGGTCCGTGCAGGGTGTGAGTGTCTCACTGCCACGGTGGAGGCAGGAGGTGGAGTGTCATGGCCCAGGCAGGGGCACAGGTCAAACCCAGCGTGTCAGCAAGCCCTGTGTGTGTGACTGCCTCGTGCAGGTGACCCCGTGGGAGCCCAGTGCAAGCACCCGAGGCCACTTACTGTTCTTACTCCCCTCCTGGGCTTCCTGCTGGGCAGGGAGACAGAGCTCACCTTAAGGGGCTTAAAGGGACGCTGTCAAGAGAAAACCATGTTTTAAAGAAGTTGTTTCTTGAGGTTAGTGACAGGAAGAGACACTCAGCATCTCCTTACCTCGCTGCAGGTGACAGCACCTGCTTCCTCCACACACCATGCTCTGCCTCACAGCAACCCTCCGGCTTTCTACCCTGCCCTGTTCCTCGGCCCCAGCTGAAGGCAGCAGGGCTAAAGCACTGCAGAGGGCAGCCTTTTCCTGTGACAGCATCTGTTCCCACAAAAGCCTGTAAGATGATCTACATGTGGTTCTCCTTCTCACTCTGATCTCATGTGTCCCACCAGAGCCAGCTGTTCAACAGCGCTGCTCAGGCAAAGAGCTGCTGCCCTCACCACACTGGGGACATGCAGCTGGGCCCTGAGGGCACCAGTGCCACTCTACCCATCCCGTGCTCAGGGAGGCTGCAAAAAAGAGGCCTTTCTGAGAACGCCAGTGCCAAGGGCACTTCATTGGTGTGATGCCACACAGATGTGTGGGCAAGTCAAACTGTAACTCCCCTGCCCTGTTTTCCCAGCCCCAACCCTGTCATGCCCAGAGTCTGCCACTCTTCTGCTGGGACAGGCTTCAAGAAATCTTATCAGCCTGGGGTTTCTATGGATTTGTTTCCTCCAATCTAGTTGTACCACTAATCCAGGACCCCACAGTCTCACAGGTTGACAAGAAAGGCTGCGCTGCTCAGGAAGCCCTTGGTACAGGGTCTGAGCCAACCTCCCGAGGTCCCTGGGGCACCAGGAAGTGTCACCAACCATCAGGCCAAGCTTGATACACCCACCAGCTGCCTGCTGAGGCCAAGACCAGCACCCAGGCTTTGTCCCCGGGGTCCCAAGGTACTTACAGAGTGCTCGTCATGGTCAACACTCTGTGCCAAGACAGGGCTGAATGACACCGGCGACAGAGCCCCCGGCTTCTTCCTCACCGCCCGGATCTGCAGCAGGGCACGGAAGGCTAGGAGGGAACACGAGGCAGGTGACTGCACAGCCCAGCAGGACCAGGCCATGCCAGAGCTCCCTGCCTTGCCACAGACACACTGTTGGCATGGGGCAGCTCCCCTGTGCACCCTGAGCACCCCAAAGCCAAGTGCTGTGGTCGGGCTTCCAGTCAATTCAGCTAGAGAGGGAAGAGATCTGCTGGCTGAAAAAGTCTGGGCACACAGAGTCCTTGTGGAGAACAGGCACAGTCATGGACATCCTTCAGGCCTGATACTGTACAAGAGTAGAGGCCCAGAGAAGTTGCCCTTAAGGGTGGGTCATTCCAATGACACAGTAAGAAAAACATGAGCTTGGCCCTGGGAGTGCACTGCAATCTACAGGATGGGTGGGGGGCTCATGTAAAACCACTCTGGGCTCATTCAGACCCCACAAAGCTCAGCCCTGGGGCCCAGCTGGCACTGGAAGCACTGTGCCTGCCATGGGCTGTGGTGGTGAGAGGCTCTGCGCTGGCTGCAAACCCAGCTGGGGGGTTAGAGCTGTACTCCTGCCTCCAGCACAGAGATCCCTTGGTCCTCCCACCACCACGGCTCTGATCTCCACCCCTGCCCACAGCCCCATTTTCTATCTGCAGATCTTTAATATTGTTAGTTCCTCTGTGCCGAGGGCGCACACAAACGAGCCAGACATCTGTTCTGATGCAGCTGTGAGGACTTGCCAGGCATTTCCCTGGTTCTTGTTGCACCCAGCCACTGCAAGATCAGCCTAGAGACAGAGGACAGAGGTACAAATACAACCTGCTCCCCTGCAGATGAGATAACGCTGTAACTGTTTTAAGTTGTGCCACTTAGAGGCAAACCTGTCTTCCTCTGGTAAGATCTTGCTTTTGGTTACTGCATCTTTGCCATGTTTGAACTGTTTAGACTTAGTTTCTCAGGCCAAAGACATCTGTCTTAGGCTCTTTTTTTCTTTTCCTCAGAACTATCAGTTAGAAACAATCAAATACATCAGAGACCAGGCAGGGGGTAAAACACATGATCTGCCTATTCCAGCAAAAACACGGGCATTTTCTCAGGAGATTCCTATGCCTCTGTGCTTTTGAGAAAAGATGTGGAATTCAGCAAGTGCTGACTGAGTGTAGAAACAGGTATTTAATTTTTTCCATCTTTTGGGAACTGAGCAATGCAAGGGTTAAGCAGATCCTCCCAACTCCTGGCAAAGCAAAGGACTCCAATTTGACTTATCTCATCTCTGCCTCCTGGTGAAAGCAAAGTTATCAGAAGAAAAAAAAAAATCACAGAAAGTATTTGGACAGCCCTCCAGTGGGGCTGGCTGCTGTCTGGGCCAGATACCCTCAGGATAAAGCTTCTGCATCCCCTCCTTTGGGGGATTTTCCATTTTCCACACAAGAACTGCCAACATGGCACAGCTCAGAGCACCTTCACCTTCAGGTCCATCCCAGGGAGAGGACGAGTGGCCAGGAAGGCCCCGGGCAAAGAGCCATTCTCATCTCCAGGTGGGAGCAGCAGCAGTGGGATGCTGAGCCTTGGGGTGGGGTGTGTAAAACATGCTCCCTCTCACAGCCTGCACTGCCCTAAGAGGGGCCTGGGAGGGAGGAGGTGCCTGTGTCTCCAGGCACACAGGGACTCACGGAGCCTGCAGATGGGGCAGTTGTTGGCCTGGTAGCGCAGGGTGTCAGCGCAGGAGTTGCACAGGCAGAGGTGTCTGCAGGGCAGGATGAGGGTGTCCCGCAGGTCCGACAGGCAAACCACACACTCGTTGCTGTTGTCGCTGTTCTCGTCGTCTGAAGGCTGCAAGGAGAGGGAAAACGTTGGCATGGGAATGGGCAGGGGCATGCCAAACTGCCAAGGGACTCTGGAGCCTGGGGAAATTTCCCACCCAAAAGTCTGTGGTAGAGCTAGCATCCTCTTTTGTCAGCTCTCAGTGGGGGTTTCTGAAGGAGAGCAAACTCCAGCCCACAGAGCCCTGCTTGGACACTCCTTCATCCCAGGGCTCTGCTCTGAGCTCCCTGAAGGCCAGAGGCCAGGGCACTGCACTGGGAATTCAGGGCAGAGCTGTCCTTCCCCAGAGCCCCTTTGGGGAAGGGATCCTCTTAGCTGAAGGGTACCAGGAACAAGCTCCTGCCTTCCAGCCTGGTGGCTCCAGGGTCAGCAGGGAAGCGAGTTCTTTGGCACTCCAGCCTTTCTTCCCACACTGAGAGCATCCCCACAAGGAGCTGGACAGGCAGTAGGTCAGACTGCCCCCAGGCTGGACAGGAGGAGGCACGCCAGCCATGCCCAGCCCAGCTTCCACAGGTGCTCTGAACAAGTGAGGGAGTCAGTGGTTCTTCTGCACCTTCACCAGCTCCTGTGCTGGCACAAGCTTTGATGCAGCCTCAGGAGAACCAGCCTGGGATGTTCACCTGCCCACAGCTACCCTGGTAAAAAGGCCTGTATGCACCCATTCAACAGGAACATGCACCACACTCGTGTGTCAGTCACTCAGAGCCCCACAAACTGGATTACAGACACTGACCTAACTGTTGGTGGGAGGAGAAATGCACTTTCCAACCACAAGATTGACAGCAGAAAACTCCACTGTCTCCCCACCCATGTCACAGAAGTTGTGTCAGAACCACAAGGACCCAGCATGGGGCACCTCCACCTTCACCTGGTCCCACTTCACGAGGTCCCTTTGGTCACCAGGGCTAGAACATGCCACACCATGGGCAACCTCGGTGTAAACAGCAACTGTGCTGCTGCCACATCCTCACCCAGCCTGCTGCCTGCCTGCACAGGGCTGTCTGTCCCATCACACCTGCCCCTCAGGTATTTTGGGAGGGAGGGAGCTGCCCCATTCACACAGTTTGCTGGGTACACCAGGAAGAACGAAATGGTCCCATGCCACTTGTCTGATTGGGCCACAAATGTGTGATTGCTGGATCAAGAGAATCATTATAAGACCCTGGAGGACCCAAAAAGAAGCTTTCAATCCTCTTAAATAGATCCTGTGGAAGAAAAATCTTGGAAAAGACTTCTCCCTCCTGCCTCTCCAGGTACTGCTTGTTGGCACAGGCAGACCACAGGACACTCTGGGAAGGACACTGCATTGCCTGGAGAGGAAATCCTGCTCGTCTTGCTCTGTGGCTACTGCTCTGTTTACAAATCATGGACTACACACCCTGGAGCTGTGTGATCCTGAGACCAGCAGTGGGGACACTCCACAGCCCAGGTGGCAGCAAAGGGCAGCTCTAAAAAGGCTAAAGGAAGCACAAAGCAGGCACGGATCCAGCAGCTGGGATCCAGCAGCAGCTCCTGCCTCAAGATGGGAATGTTTCTGGTTATGGCATTTGCATACACATCCCTTAGGGATGCTGTGCTCCCTCTTGCTGGGGAATGCAGGCTGCTCTCTGGATACTGGCAAGCCCTAGAGAGCTCAGTTTTCTGAAACACTGCAGGAACATGCAGAACTCCCAACCAGGAGAATGTGAAGGAGCCATGGGAGCAGAGCACAAACACCAGACACGACTGCCTTGATGCAGGGAGGCAGCAACACACACACACAGCTTTCTACAAGCCCTAAAATCCAGTGCTCTGAAACATCCATGGGGCACTGAGGCCCTTCTCTCCCAGCAATCCCAGCCCCAAGGAACATCCTCAAGAGCCTCATGCTGCCTAAAATTATCTGAGCACAACTCCACTGACTGTTTAGGCCTTACACCAGTGAGGACCTGTCATCCCTGGTCCTCTTTGGTGCCTGCAGGAACGACACAGACTTGACAGTCACTCTGGGAAGCACCTCCACATTGCCCTGACAATCCCCATAGTTAAGCTCCAAAGCAGAAGGTGCAGGCTGGAAAGCCACAGCTCAGGAAGCATCTTTACCTTGGTCTCCTGGTTGTTTTTGTTCTCGATGCCGTAGATCTCCTGAAGCAGGTAGCTCACCCGGTCAACCTAGGGGGGAAGACAATAGTTGGAGTGCCAACTGCTCTGTCATTGCTGTTCTGTGACCACCTTCCCTCCCTCCCCGTGTCAAAATGTCCATGTTACACCCACAGCTTCCCTACAGCAACATGGAAGATAACAAACATCACCAAGGACAGAGAATGAGAGTGGAGAGCGAGTCTCTCCTTGCTCAAAAAGTGCTGCCCACCCTGCCTGGTGTGGGTAGGGAGCAACAAAAGTGGCCAGCTGGGTTATCAAAATAATCTAAAAAACAAGTACTCTGCTTGTCTCAGAGTATACACACCCATAGCTCAAATAATCCAGAGGCAATCAGCCTTCCACAGTCCTCTGTGGGAGTACTGCTTAACCTTAACCAAGATGAACTTCCACCCATTTCTGCAATCTCAGCAGAGAGAGGCTGTGCCAACAGCTCCTTACTGGCACACCAGTGGTGGCACATCACCTCCCTGTTCACCTCCTGGGAGCACAAGGTCAAGCTTCTAAGGACAGACAAACCATTTCCCTTAGCACGAGAAGCACTGGATGGACAGCCCTACATTAGTGCAGTGTCACTGACTGCCATCCCCAGGCCCTTGGTGGCACCTATAAATGGGAGGTGTGGTGGCAGAAAGTGCTCTAGGCACAGCTGGAAGTTACTCAGAGGGACACACACTCCCCCAAGCCACGACTTCTGCAAACTGGCAGCTGCCTGCAAAGCCCCCTGGGCAGCTGAACCACAGCACTGAGACAAGGAGGGCTGATGGGTCAAGTCCCTCTGCACTGGGGGTTCTCCCCTGTTCTCCACTTAGCCCTCCAGTACAGCACGAGATTCTCACAGTTGTGAGGAGCAGCCTCTACAAGGAAGCACAGAGATAATGGACCCCCAGGATTCAGTCCTGTTTAACATCTTTATTTACCCTCAGTAAGTTCACAGACAACACTAAGTTGGGTGGGAGTGTTGATCTGCTGGAGGGTAGGAAGGCTCTGCAGAGGGACCTGTAACAGCAGTGGAGGCTCAGGTTGGACATCAGGAAGAACTTCTTCACAGAAAGGGTTGTTAAACACTGGAAGGGGCTGCACAGGGAAGTGGTGGAGTCGCCATCCTTGGAGGTGTTCAAGGAATGACTGGACATGGTACTCAGTGCTCTGGTCTAGTTGGTCAAAGGTTGGACTTGATGATCTTGGAGGTGTTTTCCAACCTAAATAATCCTGGGATTCTGTGATCTGGTGCTACACAGCAGCTTCCCCAGAGCAGGATGTGTTGCTTTGCCTGCACAAAACCTTGCAACAGGCAAAAGGGTTGCCAGGTACCAAACAGACACATGTCACAAGCAGGGGAAGGACAAAGTTTCCTGCCATCTCCATGTCCAGCTGACAACATGCAGTGAAGCCAAGCCCCCAGGGCCCCAGTGCTACAACAGCTGTCAATCCCAGGGCTCCTGGCATTTCCATGTGTAACTGGCCTCTCTCCTCTCCTCTAGTCAAGCCAGGTGCTCAGTGAGCAGTGGCTTTTCCACGGGACTCCAGTGCTTCAGAAGGTGACACATGCCAAGAAGGGGGCAGGAGGGAGCTGTGTCCAGCCCATCTGCTAGTTCAGAAATGCTCTGAGCTGAGACATGGCAGTGTTAACACACTAATTCCAGAGTCTCCCCGTGTAACTCAGTGTGCAGCTCACAGACAATCTGTTCTAGGCCTGCATTTCATGGCAATGAGATCAGCTGTTGGACTGCTGAGCAAAACCCTCTGCAGCAGCTCACAACTCGCCCAGGAAGTCTGGGGACAATTATGTGGGAAACGTCCTTTTGTAACTTGGCATTTCAAAGAGAGCCTTGTTACAGCATCCTGACTCCTTGGAGGATCACAGTGAGTGACAGTGTGTGCAGGAGTGGTCAGCTCAAAGCAAAGAAGAGGTCAGGGAGGGAGAGACCAAAGTCTCTGCGGGAGCCTGCGTTCTTTTTAACTGCTTTCCTCTAAAAATCCTGAGAAACTCATGTCCCAGCAGGGAAAGGGTGAGCAGTGCAACAGCTCTTACTAGAAAGAACTCTAGGTTTTAAAAGAGTAGGAGTAATTAAGAGGAAGTAGGTTGATTGCAGACAATGCAGTCCTGCAGTTCTTCACCTTCACCCTTCTCCAACCCATCCCACACCACGTCATCCTTCCGAAGGCTTCTGTTGCTATTTACAGCCTCACTGGATGCACACAGGAACCACTGGCCAAGTCCAGGTTATGTTTTTCTGCTGATCCCATCTGTTTGTATTCATCCAGGCTGAATTTCTGTAAACAGGTTGGTACTTACACTATAACTGAACACAGCACAAAGCAGTTCAGCCCAGGGGCTGCTGCTTCCTGCTCCCAAAGAGCTTTAGAGATCAATGCCCACAAAAGGTACCCACAATCCTGGCAATGGCAGGGAGGGGAAGACATAAGAAAAGCAGGGATGGCAAAGAATGTACAATGTTATAACATGGTTTATTGCAGACACAGACTCTACACCTCTGCTCTATGCTTTTAAGGGTGCAGATGCCATCTCAGTTTCAGTGGTACTGTGTGTTCTTTAACAAGAGCTTCCTTCTATTCCAAAAGCCACAGGAGAGAACTTAGAAATGTTACATTTTACTAACTGCCAACAAAAAAAAAAGTACCCACAACTAAACACTGAGTGGGAAGGTTACATGCTCTGCCAGTAAAGACAGACAAGCACTCAGTGTTCCACTGCAGGAGTCAGCTAACCAAACCGTGGTAGGGTGGGAACTTTCCTGCAGAGCATTTCCAGCAACACAGCCCTCCATGTGGGGAGTCTGCAGTGCTGAATGGAGAAGGATGCACACACTGCCTCAGTGTGCACAGTAACCCAACGCTGACTGAGAGAGCTCACACCATGGAAGCACTGGTTTAGAGATAAAAGCATTAAACCCCCTCCCTCAAAAAAATCCCAAGCAGGATAAATGAGAGGCTTTTCATCAGCTGACAAACACTCTGATCTGAAAAATATGTGAGAAAGAGGCTCTGCTGGCATCACATTGCTCTGCTCCATCTTCCAGCCGAGGCACAGCTCTCCTGGATGTTCCCACGACAAACCTGCCCTCACACACTTGACAGACTCCCTTCCAAAACAGTCTCTGATTCTATTAAAAGTACTTGTGAGACTCAGATGGATCAACCAGCCAGGAGACTGTGCTGCAACACAGCCAAGGGGAGCACCAAGGAAGAGAAGGGAGCACAGATCAGTCTGGGACACACGGGGCTCAGAACAGACATCAGGCTGGAGTGGCAACTCCCACACCACTGGCACTGGGATAAAGCTCTGGGAGAGAGGGCCAATATTGCTGTCAGATGTCCAATATGGACAGGCCATGAGTCTCTGCACAGAGCTGGGGAGCTAGACAGTGAATTAACAAATGCCATTTTCATATATGATTACTGACACTGTTTATGGCTCTCTTCTGATCTGGGGACTGGAAGGTACATATTAAAGCAAGAAGTGTCTTATTAAGGTACTTAATGACCTTCTTGGTAGTAAAAGGCTTTTTAATTCAGATCAGTAAACCTTAACCATCCATCATGAGCAGTCAAACATTTAAAGCAGAAACACAGCACACGCCTAAGGGTGAAGGGATCAACCCCCGAAATCTCATTTCTTTCTCCAAGACATTTCAAGCTGATCTTTGCAGCAGGATCACTACCAGAGTTCTTCTCAGAAGCTGAAATCCTTGGCACTCTTAGCAGTTTGTAGTTGCTCATGTATTTTTGTCTGTGCAGGACTGAAGGCAATTTCAATCCTGATGAGGCACTACCCAGCTTCTGCACATCACACTGGGATGGGATACAAAAGGGCAACATTTAGGGCAGCTAGCAGCTCACTGCCTTTGCTTGTGATATCTGAGCTAAAGAGGTGAGATCTCAGGCTCTCAGAGAACACCAAACCTTCCCACTGGGTACAGTCAGGCACTGGTGGGACACCAGCAAGTCTGTAACCATGAGTAGACAGAAAACAGGTACTTACGATCTGCTTCTGTTTTAAGGGCTTCACAGAAAAACTGCCATCAACGTGCTAGCAGGGGGCAAAAAAAGGAAATGCATTAAATAGCTGAAAAATTAAATAAAATAAAAATTTGATTAAATAAAGTAATTAAAGCAGCCTCGTGCTCAGGGTTGGTGTGTGCTAGCTATGGGGAGGGGAGGGTATGTATAACCAGGACAGCCTGGATGGCAATCCCTCCCAGCAGAGTTAGTGAACAGGGTATTGGAGCACACCTTGTCTGCTCCAGCACAGAGTAAGACGGACTTGGCTCAAGTCAAACCTTGCTGAAGTGGTCAGAGCACACACAAAACTCCCCTGGTACACTGGGTGCTTTCAGGTTGCAAGCAATCCAACTGGGTGCAGACACTTCTGCAGCCAGTCCAGCAGGACTTGGCAGGGGACATTTGTTAACACCCGAAATAACATCCAGCAACAGAGCCACTCTTGAAGCCAAAGCCCTGACAGAGCAAGAGGCTGAGAACAAGGTTTGTCCACTGGACGGAGTCAGAAACAAGTCACACGTGCTCCACATCCTCAGAGCTGTGAGCCTTTCACGTCCTCAGTGGCAGCAGGCACAGCTGGAACAATTCTGTAACCCCTGGTGCCAGGACTAGTGATGTCAGTTCTACTTTCCCCATCACCCACAAGGGCCACTAAAAAGAAAGAAATCAACCCCCCTGCCACAGTCTAGAGAGCAGCAAAGGAGACTCAGGGGATGCTCCAGCAGGTCCTGCTGCTGTGAACAGCTGCAGATGTGCATCTGTTTGCTGAAGGAGTTTCAGAAAGAAGGGACAACAACATCACACCAAAGACAAAACAGTCCTGTTTTCAGGCAAACAAGTTTCTGCCTTTCGAAGAGCTGCAAGGTCAAACTACACAAAGGATCAAGGCTGTTATTCTGATCTTAAAGATACATATAAATAGCAAGTTACCAGGTCCTGCTGGTCTGTCTGTCCTCTGGGGGATCAGCAGTGCTTATTAGCGAGGACCTCCCCTGGATTTATGGACCTACACTTCAAAAGCTGCAATTATTCTAAGGATGGGGAACATATTTTAATCAAACAGGGAGGATGAACTCAACATGTACTCTGCCCTATGACTTTTTATTAAAAGTGAGATTTTAATCTTGTTCTAAGCATTCAGTGGAAGATGAGAAGAAAGAAGTGGCTGAACTATGACTATGAGGCTGAACTATGAGGGACTCCAGTGTGTTTTGTTTTTCCACATCAGCCAGAGGAGGAAACTAAAATAACATCCCTGCCCTAATCCCAAGGGTGCTGCAGCTGCCCATCTCTAATTGCCAGGAGTAAAACTACCTACAGAGCCAGTGCTCAGAACAACCTTTCTAACACTGGAAAACTCATTTTCTTCACAGATCAAGTCCAACAAAAAGCAACCTAAAACACTTAAAGCATCTTCCAGCCCCATGGCTTCCTTAGGACTGACTGTGCTTCCCATGCCCTCTGACTCAGCTCTTCACTATCCACATTATCCACCTGGGAGGAAGAGAAGTAAGACCTGGCAACTTGGACAGGGATACGACAGGAACTGAGTGGATTGAGATACCAAGGTCAGCCACGTGCCAGCCTGGAAGTGGGGAATTTCCAACGGCACAGCACTGATGCTGCTCCCCTCTACATGCCCAGCTCTGCTCCAGCATCTCTTGTCTCACCTCAGCATGTCACCACAAGAATCACCTGCCCAGGGTAGGTGTGTGCAGTGTTACCACAGCCAGATTCATTAATTATGGTGTAGTTATGGATCTTGTAACTCTTTTGAGGGTCCAGTTATCATGGGAAGAGAGTTTGTTATCAAGGCTTGTGCACACAACTTGGCTTGGCCTTACCATGCAGGCAGTGGTCACTACATCAAACACACCACCCAAGAGTAGTGAAGCTCACAGTCTTCATGCAGGATGTGTCCTAATTCTTCCAAAGGGCTTGGCCCTGTGTGTAAGCTAAGGCCAAACAATGGTGCAACAGGGTCTGGACACAGCAGATCCAGTTCTGCCCTGGAAAACTGCACGGTAGCAGCCATGGACAACACCTTCCACCCTCTCCCCACACACAGGAAACAGCAGCTGCAATTACCTGAGCCACCAGCTCAGGTACAAATGATAATTACAGGCTGCACAGGAGCTGCTGCAAGAGGTTCCTTGTACTACAACACCACCCAGGAACGAGCCAGGACTCTGTTGGGCTAAGTGTTACATAAATACAAACTAATGACCCGTGGAAATGTTTACATACACAAGGACAAAGGGAAAAAAGAACTCATTTACCTTTTCGAATGCAGCCAGGAGAACATGGGCGTGACCAGTGACCTCAACCACCACTGCAAAAAGGGAAAGAGCAGATCTGGTTAAACCTTGTAAACAGCACGAGCATAAAAATACCCTGAGAGTTGCATTGTAGTCCACTGACATTTCTGAACTGCTATCTGTACTATTTTCATGTCTCCTGCATTTAAAACTTATCTTGTCAGGCTGATTCATCTCACTGGGCTCTGTGGTGGGCCCTACACAGCCATGCCTTCTTGAGTGCTCCAAACTATCCCACTTGATTTTCAGAGGTTGTAAAGGGAAAGTAAAACAAAGCACTCAGTGGGATTCTGCTCTCCCCTTTCATTCTTGGGTTTAATTACCTGAATTTATCACAGATCCATCTGGTTTAACAGCAACTGGCAGCACTTCCAGCCCTTATCACTTTATTTCACTCTAGTCAGACATGCCTATAAAACATCTATTTCTCATACCAGCTCCAGCCACTGAAACATTTCTGCCCAGTTCTCTGACTTTCTCCCCCAAAGATAAACATCACATCTTCCCTCCTCCAAAGTCAAGTGTTCCTTCTTAATCCAATAGCACTGAGAAGGGGCTGTCAGAGGTTTCAGTAGTGCATTCCTGGCCCCCTCAGCAAGTAGAGAACAGGAGGGGTGAGGTACAATCCCAGTCTCTCTCACTCAGGACTCTGCAGTTCTGTTCAGCTCCAACTGGTTGGGCCTTTTTGCTTAATTCTGTTCAGACTCATCATATGGAAGTGGGAGGCAGAAGTGGTGGAGGAATCACAGAGGGAAGGGAAGGCATGGAACCACCATTTAATTTTACTAAACACAAGCAGTTACAGGCCAGCTGTAATTTTCCAGGTGCTCCAGACACACAAGGCCAGCTCCTTCCAGGCCCACCAGTTTAAAAAAAAGAACCAAAATGCACAACAGTTTCCTCAAATCTTGCTCAAGTGTCACATATTTTTGTGCTGATATTCTTTCCAGGAGAGGATTTAAAAGCAGTTGCCTTTCCAGGTTATTAAAATAGATGAGAGTACATTATTGGCTAAGACTGGGCATGGTATGTGCATAAATGTATGCTTCCCATGCTGCCTCCTGTTCTATTTTTGATCCTTCTAGACATGCCCAACATTAGAGAGCATAAATACCTTGCCAAAAGTTCCATAAACAGAGGAAGGTGTTTTATATTATGGTAAAGAAATATACATACATGTGGATTTTACTAACAGTGCATGAAATCACTAAAAATAGATGCACTTTACAAGTAATTTCCTTTATGTTGCACTGTGCTTTGTTAGTCACATTTTAAATTGTTTCATCCAGTTCTATTGCAGTCTGCTTGGAAGACAGTAAAATAATGCAATGAGTTTCTGGCCTTTTCCACATCTACAGCATAAGAAACTCTGCAAGTGACTGACCTGAACAATGTGATCAACAATGGATTTTTTCCTTCCTAATTATCTTAAATTTTGTAAAAAATGTCACAGAAGTGAAATGCTGGTCCTGCTGACCACAACACCCCCCAGTTTCAAAGAAAATGTGACTTCCTTGTGCCCTTTTCACTGCTGACAATTCATGTGAGTGCAAACTCGTGGAGCCCAAAAGCACACACCCCACTAAGGGAAATACTGTCCAAGGTGAGTAACAATCTAAATATTTACTGGACTTCCCTCTCCGAAGCAGCAATCCACTTTAAAAATAATCAGCAAATAATCATAATTATTAATTATTTTAAAATAATCAAGAATTGTTTCTCCTCTTTCATTGCAACCATTCATCACCCTCGGAAAAAAACAGGAGAATTTCCAACTGCTGAATGAAACTACATTTGGTTGAAGAGTGGCCTGAGCATTTTAAAGCCATTTTCTTTTCTCTGCTCATTTCTAGGTTTTTATGAGGACAACTTACTCCTCAATGAGGGAGAAAATACTCCCTCTCTCCTTCTCTTACAAACTGCAAAAATAAAACCCAAAGAATAAAGAAGTAATTTGCTCCAATTTGTGCCTGGCATTGGTGGCAGAGCCAGGAGCTCTCCTAAACACCCCTCCAACACCAAACACCTGGCCATTTTTCCTGTAAAAAATGCAGGCTATTTTTAGAAGTATGTTTTTATGCAAGAACTCATGGTTAGCCAGGCCCTTTTAATAAAGGGAAGTTAAGGCGTACTCCTGAAATATTTTTGTTCTGGAAAGGCTCTCCAAGGAGCCACATAAGCTCAGAGGGAGACAGGAGAATTCCAAGGGAGCAGAGCACTGTGCTTACCATCCCCTTCATCCACCACTGCTCGGATGACCACAGGGAACACACCACGATCCAAGTCAAAGTTCAGCTGGGGGGGACAGAAACGAGCTGAGGTTACACAAATCACACCAGGCTTGGTGAAGACAACACTTGAGATCATGGAACATCACAGCAATGAAGGCCCCCAGCCCCTGGTTTCAAATGGTATTTAATTCTCGCTAATTCACATATCCCAAAAGTCTCCTGAGTGATTTGTAGTAGGACAAGTTTGTCAGAATATATCTAATGCCACAATTTTGCCTGTGTATGGCAGGACAGGTAAGGCTTTAGCACAGCAGTGCATTGTGCTCCCAACACAACAAAACAGACCCTGACTTTTGTATGAAGTTCCTGAAGAGAAAAATCTGTCAACCTTCAAGTTCACATAACACCTTAAGGAAACACCAGACTGATTTCCATCTCTTGGCATGAAATGAAATTCAGGTCCTTGACCTTCTAATGGGCGAGAGTGAAACTTTAAGATCTCACTTGAGTGCAAGGAAAACAGACTCAACTTCTCCCTTTGCCCTGCACTTCATTAAAGCACTTCAAAAGCTCTGTGTCATCTTAGAAACACAAGGAAAAGGCAACCTTACAGACACTGTCCTATGCCAGGAATGGAAGTGGCTCAGAGACTGGATTTCTGGTGGTTTTTTTAATTACTGACTTGGAGATTTTTGTCTCATCTCTTGCCAAGACTGAAAAAAAAAAGATGTCATTTCACCATGGTGCTCCAGGTAGTCTGTTTTTGGTTTTCCCATGAAAACTGAGACCCAATTCCAAGTGCTGCAGCACCATCCAGGTAGTGCTTTGGGGCTCCCCTAAGTTTCCTGCAGCCCCAATATCATTTGCAGCGTGACTCACTCCAGCTGGTCCCTCAAAAGGTTAATTATCAAGGCAGCCAGTGGCACAAATGGCCACCCAAACCACCCAGACTGCAGGGAAGGTGACCCTCAGTGCGAGCCTAATAGTTGAAAATTAATTACAACCTAAATGTTCACCACCTGCACACTGGGATACCTGGTCAGCCACCAGCCAGGTGTCCCACAGCCCATGAGCCACGTGGCTGTGCCTCTGCCAAGAGCTCCCACGGGAGCTGTGAGGATTCCAAACAGAAAGCATGTGCTGGAAGACCCTTATGATGTGACCAAACCTTCTAACCTTGAGGAATGTCGATTTTCATCCTCTGTATGATGGTTTTATATTTTACTACTCCTTTAACTACCAGAATCTATTCTCTTTCCAAAACAGCAGAGTAACAGAGCAAACACAAAAATCTCATTTAACCTCTCAGGGTTTGTTACAGAGCAGACTCCTTGAGCCACTATTTTCCAGCTTGCATTTTTGAACTGTTCTGGCACGGCACAGAGGGAAAATTCATTGAGGACAATGGATTAAAATAGCTGAAAAAGCTTATGGTTTTGCTTTGCTTCCTGCTCTGATTTATTACTGCATGACAGAAATTGTTCTTTGGCCGTTTGAAGGGAAAGTCACATCACAGAACTGAGGTTGCTTTACCTTATAAACTTTGGATTTCTCGAACAAAAGGCCTCTTTAAGGGACCATTTCACGTTAATTTTTATGGCCCTGAGCACAACTGGCTCAACACAAGCCATACTCTGTAACTTCCAAGCAAACCAGTGTATTGGGAAGACAAAGCAAACTTTTATAGAGCTTTCCACAGAACAGCCCAACACAACATTACTGTCCTTTCTGTGGGCCAGCCAAGAACTACGTCATATCCGAGTATTACACTGAGTGAAAATATGAGGCAAATCTGGGGGTTTTGGACAAAGCTGGAAAGAAATCTGAAAAGTGCAACTGTGCACAGCTGAGTGTACACACTGTCAGCTCTCCCAGATAAAAGGGCTGCATTTTGGTGGCCAGTTAAGAAGATTTAGGACCAAGACTGATATGTACAGAGAGCTGAAATGGGAGGAGAAACACTTCCAAATCATAGTGCTCATTTCACATTTTCTCCAGCTCCAGTAACACCAATGAAAAAAGAGAAATAGGAGGATGCAGCAGAACAAGCAAAGGAAGCTGGAAGCTCATTTTTCTACAGCATCTCTCCCTTTAAGCTGTCAAAGGGACATGACTTTAGTACTTGAGTTAAAACCTTGCTGACAGGAACAAAAGTGAAAATTAAGCTCCACAATTCTTTTAAGAAGAAAGGGATCTGAGCTCCTGCTTTCCAGCTCTCTCAGACAACAGAAGGGATTGAAAAGCAGCTCTTCCAGGCTTTTGTAGGCTGAACTTGTGAAATCATCTATTGGCAGAGAAGACAAGACATCAGGAGACCAGACTCCGCAGGCTCTTGGTAACCACCACAGCATTTTTTAAGGCACGGGACTGATTATAGTTATAGCTGTAACTTCAAGACAATAGCTATTCAATCTTTCAAAATACATGAAAGATCATTTCTTCCTTCCCCCCTCCTTTTTTTTTTTTTTAAATTTTTCTTTTAAATAGGTAGCTATCTACCAGGGTTCACATACACGATACTCTTGCACAAGTTTGGGTCAGGAATTGAACACTCTATCAGTGTTGATTTCCTGGGAGAGGGGTCCACAGGAACAAATATATTATCAGCAGCTACAGACCAACTCCTCTGCTTTAGAAATCTCTTATGACAATTCTGCACAGAGCAGGGGAAAGCCCAAAGCCTCCCTGCTCTGGTCACATGCAGGGGTGTCCTAGTTAGAACAGCTGGGACCAGTTCATCATTGTATGGGTGTAACCCAAAACTGTGTATTCTATAGCCTTCCATGCCATTTCCCAGAAACTGTTATCAGTGAACCATTTACACCCTCTGCCTATAGAGCCTGACTCCTCAGGCTATAAACTGGGTGTTAAGAGGCCTGTGAGATAGGAGGATGCTCTTGTCCTCACACCCTTTGTGGAGCATTCCTGCCTGAACTGGAGAATATACAATCTTGGAGTCTTGGGACTTTTTTAACCACTCGTGGGATCCAGAGGAAGACTGAGACCACCACTCTAAACCAGACTGCAACCATCACTCTCGACCGGACTGCAATCACCATCCTTGCCCAGACTGCACCAGCACTCTCACCAACAGGTTTTCCCCTCTGCTCTTACTTTGGACTCAGGGGGCCCAAAGAACACCACTCAGTTCATGGCCCAGGGTGCTGGGTTATACATTTGGGTTTTGTGGGTTAAAACCAACTGTTTGTCTGTATAATCGTACTTATTGTATTATTTTATTAAATTGTTATTCTGACTTATAATCTCTCTTTTGAGTTGAGTTCATTCCCCCTGCTGGTTTACCTTTAAACCAGCACAAGGGGAAGCCCTTGGGCCAAAGATCAGAGGCTCAAGAAGCAGAAACTTACTGCCTGGCTTGGAATTTTGCAAAGATACCAAAATTACCAGGACTCCAAAATTTTGCTATGTAGGAATAGCCACAGACCTTAATTAAAACCAAGCCCTCATCTGTTTGCAGTCATGGGTTAAACAAAGAGGAGGACACCATTCCTTTATTCAGCACTGATGCACCAGTGTGAATGCCCCAGGAGGAGAATATCCCCTCACAGCACTGTACTGCTGCAGTTAATAGTGCAGGATGTGGCCCTTAAACAGCACGAGAGCAGTGTACTCCAAACTACTCTGATCATTCATCCCACCAGTAAAATATTTCGAGCATATATTCCCAATATATGTGTTTATTATTTATGAGATATATACATGTATTACTGAAGTTCTTCCTGCACCCCAGTGAATTGCCTCATATGCACCTCATTTTGGAGAACATTGTTCCAGAGGACCAGCCAAAAAACCCAAAATCTTAGACCTAAACCCCACCAAAACAGAGAGATTGAAACGAATATTTGTTCCCACAAGCTCTTTGGGTGGCAGGGAGAGGAAGGCTGAGGAGTGGCAGGTTCCTTCAGGAAAAGCTCCAGTGCCAATTTCTGCTGCCTCTCTCCTAAACCAGCTGATCAGTGATATCAAAAGTTTCCTCCCTGTTGGCCTGATCTACCTGCCAAGTTCCCAAGTACCCACAAAACACACTGTGGCAGCTGGGAGAGTGTCTTCCAGCCATAACTTCAGGGCACTAAATGGAGACCAGTGCTTCTGGGACAACAGGGGTGTGGAAAGAAGGGGACACTGAGAAGAGACTTACCTCATCATCCTTCCACTCTGAGAAATCAATCTTGAAGGAAGGCAGGGAGAATTGCTGGCTTACCCCTCTCTTGTAATGAACCGTCTCCGACTGCAGAGAGGGATTCTTTGTGCTGTATCTGAAGAAAGGGGGGAAAAGAAAACTTGCTGTAACAAATGACTGCTCTCTGCCAAGCTCTCACTCACTCTGCCTTTCAGGAATCACAAGTGGCAGCTCTAAGGGCAGAGCTGGCAGAGGGGCTGGCAGCCATTCAGTGGGGACACAAAGAGGGAAGGGAAAGGTCAAAGCGAGAAGGTGAGCACAGGGGAGGGAAAGCAGCGCAGACAGGCAAGGTCTGATCGTGTCCATACTGACCTGCCTGGAAACACTAGGTGTCAGGAGTACAGTGGGGTGCAGCAGCTTGGCAAAGCCTAGCTCCCTAAATCCAGGGCCTGGCTTTCAGCCCAGCATAGTCCTATTTTCTGCAGGAAACCCAGGAAGAACCAGCAGTGACCTAACACACAACCCAGCAGCTCTCCCGTGCCTTGTGGGATAGCTCTGCAGTGGGAAATGCTGCTTGGCTCCACCATCCTGGTAAGCAAGAGCCATTGCAATCCACCCCTCTGTTCCTCATGTGCTTCCCCAAGGTGCTGCAGGGCTACCAACACTACGTGAGAGACACCAACCATCCTGCACACCAGCCACACAGACAGGAGCCACGATTCTTCCACTGCCTCAAGGCTGGGATGAACATCTGGAATGGGACCACAGCTACCATCCACCATCTTCTGCATCCAGAACCCATCTGGTGAGAGATGTTTCCTTGCCCACTACCCCTGTCCAGAGGGTGATGCCTGAGCTGGATGTGCACAGCCTCTCCCTGTGCCACTTCTGGCACAGGAGAGGAGGCAGCGAACCCCAAAGCAGGGTGGGAACATCTGAAGCTGGTTTTACCACCAAAGCCTTTCTTGTCCAACTACCAACTGTGTGCTCAGAGCACGTTTACAAACCAGAGAGAATGTGAGAGATCCCTTGCCCAGGAGACTTACACTGCAACAACAGGCTCCCTCAGCACGGTGACGAGACGCACAGCACAGTGATTGGGATGCATTTTGAAGCTGAAGGTATAAGAACCTGGATACCAGGAGATGATGAATATTTATTAATTCCTCTCAAACTCGAGGAGGAAAAACCAGGCTCCCCACTGGCATGAACTGCTGCCTTTCTCTGGAAAGCCAGAATAATTCCTGTACCCTCTTGAGGGTCCAGAAGGCTTATCAAGTGTCACAAGATCAACGTTAAATTCTGGAAGGCCGTGACAAAGGGTAGGTTCAACATGTGCACTCTGCTCTTCCTGCCAAGGCAGGTGCATTATGTTATTTATGACAACACCCTCAAAGCCCATTTTGTACTGTGCTGAAATTATGCTGCTTTACTAGAAGGTCTCACTCCATCCTTTGCATTTCAAGCATGGTGTGGGAGAGATCAGAATGACAGGTCTTTTATATGTGAATTACAGAGCGAGCAATTGAGTGAAGTTTTATTTACTGAGTTGTCAAGCACAATGAATAGAGCAAGGCTGTATCTGGCTCCTTTTGTGGCACTCTCAAAGCTCCTCAGCTCTGCAGAGAGGCACAATTCTCCCTCCACAGCTGGGAAAGCAGAGGATGGAAAAGTGACTTATCTGAAGTGACAGAAAGTCAGGAGCTTACTGGAAATAAAGTGCAGAGGAGAGAGTGGAGCTGGGAAAGGGGTGTAAAGAAGCTGCTGCTGAGTGCCAGGAAGGCTGGAGGACCTGCACTTACAGCACTAGAAGCCCAAACCACTCTACAACAGGAAAACAAATAACACTATTCCAAGGAGGACAGGGAATAACAATACTCGCATTGACTTGCTGCTCTCACAATCCCTGGGAAAAGGAAACCAGGCACACAGATCTTCTGAGCTCAAGAGTATGACCAAGCTATTAAGGAGGCCTCCCCAAGTGAACCAAGTGAGCTTTATGCCTTGGACTGTGTGACTGCCTAACACAAGTCAGACTTGATCTGAGCACCCCGAGACAACTCTGGACACCTCCAGTCAGCAGCCAGAGCTGAGGCTGCTGAGCACCAGTGGGCTGGTGAATTCCCTGGAAGTCTGGTGAGCCCAGACTATCCCAGAGATCAATCAGCTTTCCAAGGTGATGCACAGGTTCCATGCACAAGCACACACTCCCTGTGCTGCACAGGAGGACAACTTGGCAAGCTGTTACAAAGCAAGCGTCCTGCACAGCAGGGTCTAAGTGGCATCTGCCCATCCCCAGCCCCTTTGGTTGGCATCTGCTGTTATTATAATCTTCTATTCCATGCCTGATCTGCTGGGGACTCACAGCAAACAGTAGCAGAGAAGCCCTGAAGAAGTGTTACAGAAAAAGAGAGCATGTATTAAAGAATGAAGGACAGCAGAGGAGCAATACAATGCCTCTCCCTGCATAAGGACTGAGAAAGCTGAATGTTTGAGCTGCTACTGCTCAGACTGCACTGGGCCAGGCCTCCATCCAGAGGGACTTCCAAAAAGAAACCCCTTGGGATCACTGGAAGGTCAGGACAGTGGAGAAGTGAGTGGGATCTGTCCTATTAGGTCAGGACCAAACAAAAACCCTCGGTCGCAGTATTTTAAACCTGTTTGTTTGTTCAGGTACCCCTGACAGCACGAGAACCACCAGCAACACAAGGTACACGTGCTGACTGCAGCAGCAGCCCCCAGCTCTGTCCTCAGGGCTCATGCAGCACAATTCCTCCTATGAGCTGTGTGACACACACAAAGCAAAGTTTACACTCTGCACCGACTCCTTCCTCCCCCATGTCAAACCCTTCCATCCCCAAAAACAGCTGTGTATCACAGAACCAGCAGATGAGAGGCCCTGTGACCACACCCCAGTGATTTTTGAGAGAACAGGAACAAACTAAAATTACTCCTCAGCCTCTCTCCTCCAGCATCAGCTGAGCAGCACTCGCTGCCTGCACGGAGACACTCAGCCTGTGGCTTTTCCCTGTGCCCAGTCCAGACCTGCAGACCCTCAGTAGTTCCCAAGCCATGTTAGAGTTTGGGAACCTCTGGCTAAACAGAGTTAAACTTGTGTTGCTACATGCTCACCAGAGACCCAACATAAATTTGGGGGGCATTTCCCCCTCTCCCTCATCCTTCATCAGCACCTGGGGAAGTTCTCAGCAGGGTACTGGTCCAGACCCCTCACTGCTGTGCTCCTCCTGCTCAGCTCTGCCTGGCACTGGGGCTGCCTTGGGCAGTCAAAGGGCAGTTCCTGCTCCTACAGGCACACCAGGACCTCAATGAGAAGCACCACGTGAGGATCCTTGCCAGCCTGCCTGAGTTACACAGAGCACTGTCCAGGCTCTGCTCCTCAGGGAAAGCAGGATGTATGGAGCAATGCTGCCTCAAGGTAACACTTCTGACTAGAAACATTTGAGAGAGTCTGTGCTTTGAAGAGCCTGTGGACAAAACAAGAGTCATGGCAATTTCCAGTGAAGAGAGGACAAGGCAGGGTTACATGAGAGCCTAAGAGGGTACTCAGGAACCAATTCTTCCATTGCCACTTCCACTGCCTGGCAGGCTCCATGTCCTCTTACAGGTGGTGAGGTATGAGCCAGTCATGTTCTGCTGGTGTTCTAAGGGGCCAGGAGTTGATGAGGAACAAGCACACTCGCCCTCCTCTCTCTCCCACCTGCTCACTTCCCTTTCATTTTGGGCCAGGATCTCACAGGGTGCTCTTGGAGAAAAGGAAGTTGAACAAAAGTCTCAACTCAAAGTGATTTTTATTGATAAAAGAAACACTACCAAACTAGGAGAAGGCCATAGCCCTGGGTCTCAGTCAGAGTCAGACAAGATCCGCCCCAGAGAGGCTCTCACAAGGAGTTTGGAGGTTAACCAGGTGCTAAGATGCTGCACTGCAGTCCCTGGCAGCGTTCTGCTCCCCTCCTGCTTCCTCCAGGACTGAGTTTCCGCTCTGAGCCAGGAAAAACCAAACACCTCCCCATGCAGCTGAAACCCTTCTGCCCATACCCCAACTCCAGCCCCTGCAGAGCTCTGCCCTGAGCTGCTGGGAGCACAACACTCCCGGCTTCAAAGCTCACACAACAGTACACAGAAAGGCACAAAGGCCACAACTCCAATTACTGGCAGAGGGTTTGTCTGCTCCGTGAAATCTATAGAATTTGGCTCTCCAGCCCGTGAACTTTGCACACCACAGTGTTCCCTTGGGGACTGGTGTGGGCCTGGATCAAAGCTGTAAAGGCTTGTGCCGAGCACAAAAAAACCAGCACTCGCCTCTGACTTCTCCACACAGAAGAAATCTCTTCACAAAGAATTCGTATTAATCACCACAGCCCACGGCCAAAAGCAGCAAGAGCACCTTTCAAAGGCCCTGAACAGACAGAGGCTATTAAATAACCAAAGGAATATCTGAGTCCCTCTGTGTCTCCTACGCAAGCCTGAATCAAACCAGCCTTGCACTGAGCTGGATTTCATTTTGTGACCCAGCTCTTCAAACTTCCACATGCAGAGAGAACAGGGAATCATTGCAGTGTCCGTGCACTGCAGTGATCGTGGGAGGATGTTTGGGATGAGTGTAGTGGGCACTGCAACACAAACAAGGAAATGGGATTTCTTTTTTTAATATATCCATTTGCCCATCAGCATCACAAACAGCACAGCCCTGAAAAGGGCAGGGATTGCAGAGCTGGACCGACCTATTTTCATTCTGTTTTCTCTTTATAATGAGAAAATAGAGCTTGGCAACATTACTGGGATATGGGAGAGAACCTTTTCTGTCCAAAAAGGAAGATCTTTTTCAGAAGAATGGGCTGCAAGACTCAAACCTCACACGTCATATTTATCATGAGCTGCTGATCTGCCTGGATTGCTCATGCCTTTAGAACTGGCTCTTTTAAGTGCTTCCAGCTACAAGGGTTGGTTTGAATTCTTCCCCCGAGGAAACAACCGCTGCTGTCATGTTTGAACTACGCAATCCTTCCTGCCAGTCAGCAGGATACCTGCAGCTGGAAGAGTCCCAGGGGCCCTCCCAGGAACAGGCTAACAGTGTGCACATCAAGGCTTTTGCCAGAGAAGGAAGGGATGCGTTCACAGAGCGCTCACAAAAAGAAAATACGAACATCTCTGAGCCTGCTCCAAAAACACACTTGTCTCCTAACCCAAAGACATCTCAGGGTATGAGCACATGAACCAGGTACTGCAGAAGGCAGGCTATGAACTGGGAGTCCTTTGATTATTCTCTACAAGCCCTGCAATGGAAATGCAATGCAGAGTCCCCTCTCCTCTGGAAAGAAATCACATGCTTGGGGCAATCACTGGTGAGTAGTCAATGTACAGTTCACACATATCCATGTTTTTACCAAATTCCAAAACCAAAGAAAATGGACACAATTGGAAAAATAAATAAAACTGAAGGTATCAAGGGCCTTGAGCTGTTTAGAGGCAGGTCAGTGCTAATTCCATGCCATTAAAGAGACTCTGGACATAAGTAGATCCCTGTTATCCTTGGGGTGATGAACCAGCTGGTCCTCTGAGAACTCGTGTTTTACTCTTTAAATTCTGACCACAAAGGAATCAAGCAAAAGATATTTTAAAGGTGAGAGCAGCAGTCCCCTCCACATATAAACAAATTCTCATTTCATCCAAGAGGCTTTTACAGATACCTGCACTAGCACCCGAAAGTGCAGGGGACCTTCCCCTGGGCACAGGGTTGGAGAGGTGAACACACCTCTATGATCACCAACACCACAAATTCATCTTCATCAGACTCTTCTGGTCACCTGTGGTCCCACAGAATTGATGACACAGCTCCCTGTGAAACTCAGAGTTCAACAGTTCAGGACTAGAGGCAGCAGCTGTTGGGAGCTCCGTGTTCCCAAGATCTCAGCTAGGAAACAGCAGAGCAGAGCAAAGTTACCTGGGAGAGTCTGCTGGACACTCCTCTGGGACAGGTTAGCACAGGCAGCATGGAGTGATAAAGCCACCAGCTTTTAAACAGAGCCCAAATAACTCCAGGAGGAAGCTTGCAGAAAGGATTCCCTTTGGCCACCGACACCAGCTAATCCCAAAGGCACAGCTTTGTGGCTCTCAGGTGAGCAGAAGCTCCACAGCAAGCAAAGCCTCTGCTCAGGGAGAGCCACCTCCCCTCCCTCCTCTCCCCCCAAACTGCATGACATGTTCCTAGCAGGAGTTTCTAAGGAAGGATTGCTGATACTATCAGGATCAGTGGTTGTTCCAGCAGAGAAGCAGGAATAACTTGTTTAGCACTTCTAAGGAGCCATGCTGCAGGATGGGAGAAAATTCCTGCTTTTCACAAGGGTCCAGAAAGTTTCTCCCATTTTAGGATTTAGCATCGATTTAGGAGAGTGGAAAAAAAAAAAAAGTACTTCTTTTTAAAGAGCATCTTCATCCCAATCAAGTGCAACAGAAAAAGTTTCGAATTTATACGCAGTACAGCTTTTGCACATGCCTGTTCCTTGAATGTAGCACCAAAAGAAATTGAGGAAAAGGAAGATCTACCAGCCCAGGCAGGGAAAGCTGCATTCCTGTTAGTGCACTGAAAATGCACTCACTCCACTCAGAGCTCTAAGAATGCAGCCCGGATTTTTTTTTTCCACCAGAATTTGAAAAGAGTAAATCAAAGTAATTATAGCACTGCCCTTACAGAATTGCTTTGCAAAGCTGAAATCAGAGCTTCAAAAGGTTTTTACTAGCAGCCAGCAAATCCAGAGAAGCAGAGATGCCTACTTGGGCAGCTGCACTAGCCCCAAGATGTGCTTCAGGAGCCACTTCCACATGGGAAAATAGCCTGGGTTGAATTAAAGCAGCTTATAAAGTCTATATTTGTATCTCACTTCCCCCAGCCCTTATTACCTACACATCTGCATGAAATCAGGATCATGCCTTCCAAAAGGTTCCCTGGCTTCTGCACCCCACACTTGTGTAACATTTATTGTCTGAGAACTCCAGGGCAGAGGCAGACAGTTCATCACTCCTGTACTACAGGGAAATGAAAGTATGATTTAATAAACAAAGGGCCAGCAGTGGAAGCAAGAGCTGAATGTGGGTGCTTTGGCTTTTGAGAAGGTTTAGTGCACCAGGGGCTGCTGCCACCCCAGCAGGGTAGCACAGAACCATCAGCCACACACTGTTAGTGGGGAAATCACTGCTGATCCTGGTTTCATGCAGAGGGTTCATGAACACAGGCTTCTCCTCTGCCATCTAACAGAGATCCCTCTCTCAGTGAACCATGGACAGGGTGGATCAAACATTCGTACTTAAAAAAAATTCTTTTTAAGTTGACAGATGTGTTACCTTTCAGAAACTCTACCTAGGAATTGTTCAAATTTCATTTAAAAGCCATTGGGTAGCTCGTGTTTGCTGCACAAGCTTTAAAGAACAGACTGGTGACAGTCACTGGCTCAGTGCATGGCACTAAATTTCAGGAAAACGTGTTCTTAAGTGAACCAGAAACTGTGTTTTCCCCCTCCAACCAACCAACCAAGTTCTGAGGGGAGAGCTACTAGTTACAGAGGACTGAAAACACACTGTTCAGAAACAGTTATATTTTGTAACTAAAATACTTCCATTAAGCAATTATTATCCAAGGCACAACTTGACAAGAAAGTCTCTTAAGAGTCCAGCACGAGCAGTTTAACCAACAAGCAAAAACTGCTGGTCTTGGGTGATTCAGCTGCAATTCCAGCCCAACACTGCCTGGTTAAAAAAAAGAATAAGAGATGTTTCTTTTCAGAATAACTTCGGGGTTTTGCCATTTTGATGTAAAATGGAAAAGTATAAGCCTGAAAAAATAGATTTTAAACCACATGGATATTCTGTAGCACAAAAAATGTAGCACAAGGTTTGACATGAAGCTGACACCGAGTTGTAAATGCGGATGTTTCATTGTTAATGACCAGTGACAAATTCTCCTTCAAGGTGAACCAACAGGTGAATATGCAAAACAAGATTAAAATCAATGATTTAAGCCAAGCCTTGCTGATTTGAGTCGTGGCTGAAGTCTGGCAATGTAAATACATCCACCCTGGCCATAGAGACCCTCAGTTCTCCCCAGTAGCCCATGGATTGTTTCCCTCTAAGGTCAAAAACCAAGGAGCACTGCAGGGCAGCACAAGGGACACTGGCCACCTCTCCACATTGTACCTGTGTTAGGAAAAGAGGACTTCAATCTCCAAGGCTGCCATTCCAACACCTTCACTAGCACTAAATTCACAGGAAACCTAAGGACCTAAGAGACAGAACATGGAAACTTTATCAGGATTTCTAAGGCATCCTGCTGCATTCAGCTCTGCTCAGGAAAAGCTGGATCTAAACAGAAAGTGTTTTCAGAGTTTGTCAAGAGATATTTTCCAAGCACTTTAAAAGGAGCTCATTTATTACCTCCCCAAAACAGAGGGAGCCATAGGCTTCAACAGAAGAAGGGAAGGGAACATTCTGGATCAGGATATCCTCCAGTTTGAAGGAATGCATATGTGAATTGGAGAATTGAGCCTGTCTCATTTCTAAAAATACACTGTTCATTGAACATTAGTGGGATATTTATACTTTGCATGAAACATATAAGCCATTTTATGGCCTGCCATACATTCTTCTCCCTGCTGGAACCTCTGCAGATCCCTTCAGTCGAGGATAAGTTCAGCCCCAGCTCCAGAGCATCACTGCAGAAGCCATCAGCACTACGTCCAAGAGCCGCTGCTCAGCCAAAAGCCTCTACCAGAGGAAGCCAAGAGCTTCTGCAGCCTGAACCTTCCTTTGCCCATGGAGCAAATGGAATCCCCCTTGTCCCATGGCCACTGGAAGTCTGCCATTCCATACCAGCAGCTCACGTGTACCCAACTCACACCAGGCAGAGCACATCCAGCCACCTCTGCTCTTAACATAGAGAGGAAGTTTTTCATGGGATATGGTGTCGACTGGAATGGTTTAAATGTGCTGATTTAGATTAAAAGGGTTTAAAATCTGCAGGGATGTACTACCAGGATATGAGAAAGACCCCACAGATGACATTTTGACCATTCTTTTCACAGCTAACCCAAGGTGTACTTGGCAGGAAACAGAGGGTTTCAGGGAGTAAATCCTCTCCCATCTCCCAACAGCCTGCGTTGAGGAGGTCATTTATCCCAAAAGGGGCTTTGGGAGGGCTTCAGTTCTACAGACTCACTCTGTAAATGTCAGACTGAACTTTACTTTGGTGGCCCACATGCAGAAATGCAGTGAATTAGGTGATCTGGCGAAAAAACAGGTGGTATTTGGAGGGAAGGGATGTTTTTTTTTAATTTCATAGCACATCCTGCTGACAGAACACACAGTTATGAGTTCCTCTCCTTTGCTGCACACAGAATACTTTCCCTACCCCCTAAAACCAAACCAAAAGGGGAACAAGACAAGGTATTGTCTATGTGAGGGAAGTGAAAGTAATAAGTTATCAGAATATATAAAACCAAACAGAAAAGGAGGAGATTTCCCTCCCCACCATCTGTGGCAGCACAGCCTCAGAGGTGACTAATGTCTGACAGCTCATTCACCAGAGCTCCTGTGCCCCTCCACACGCCCACAAGCCCAAGACTTACACTGCCATGCCACCAACAAACTCCTCCGTGGCCTGGCAGTAGATTGTGATGGCAACACGGGCATCTGCATCAAAGGTGAACTCCAGGCTGTACAGGACCTTCTGCTTCCCGCTCTCCTCCGTAGGACTGTCAACGTCATCTTTATACCTGAAAGACAGTGCCAGAGGATTAAACATTTATGAGATATCACCAAGATCACTCTGGAAATCAGGACAAGAGTACTCCAGACTAGGCGTTTGGGGCAGGGAAGGCATCGTGGGCTTCCACCTCAGGCTTCCCAGGAGATCTCCATTCTTTCCCCTGAGGAAGGTTCTTCCAAGATTTCATGGTGTTGAGGGATCTCACCCAGCCTTACAGTGCCAGGACACAGAATGAGACAAGAAAGGGAAATCTTGAATGTCAAACCCTGAGGAGAAGCAACATTCTCCTTCAATTTAAGTCTTCATATTAGGCTCAGTATTTGGGCTAAAGAAGTCCTGCATGGGCATGAGAAATCTAAAACCTAATTCTTTTAACACTGCAAATGAAATGGTGCCTGACACACAAAAAAACAAGGTTTCTGTAACACAAAGAACTCCTGAAGCTCAACAAAAGATACCTGCAGTATCACACAGATGATGATATTCAGCCTGGAAAGCATCTGGATGTAGGAACTTCAAATACCTTTAAATGTACAAATGATCAGCTAAAGCTCTGATGCTGTGAAGGACTGGAGCTTGCACGTATTTACTGTCTGAACAAAAATTAACCCATCCAACTGCACAACAGACACACAATAACCAATACAAGAATGAGTTTAGAAGTTATTTCAATTAACACAAAAGTGAGCCATGACTTGGCTGTGGGCTACTGCAAACTGGACCCCATGGTGTGATCACCACTGCCCAGGGTTACTCCTCCCTGCTGCAGGAAAAGGCAGGTCACAAAGCTGGTGAAGAAGGAGGTTTGAAGCAAGATCCAGGGCAGTGAGCTATGGTCACAGGCCAGTGGTGAGTTACAGTGTGCCAGGAGTGGCCAGGGAGACCAGAGATCCTGGAACAAACAGCCAACACAACACACCATGAGAAGATCACAGAATGATAGAAAAACCTGAGCTGGGAGGGACCCACAAGGATCACAAGTCCAACTCCTGGCCCTGCACAGGACACCCCAACAATCCCACCCTGTCCCTGAGAGCATTGTCCAAACATTCCTGGAGCTCTGGCAGCCTTGGAGCCGTGACCACTGCCCTGGGGAGCCCAACCACCCTCTGGGGGAAGAACTTTTTCCTGAGATCCAACCTGACCCTGCCCTGACACAGTTCCAGTCATTCCCTGGGTCCTGTTTCTGCTCACACAGAGCAGAGATCGGAGCTGCCCCTCGGGAGGAGCTGCAGATCCCAATGAGGTCTGACCTCCATCTCCTCTTCTCCAGCTGAAAACACCAAAATCTCCCTGCCTCAAAAAGCAAAGCAACAGACAAATGGATGTGATTCACTGGCAGGGCAGCACCACATTCTTACACATACATTCAAATCCCAGTGTAACCCCAGGACCACAGGTACCACAGTGAGCTCAGGCACTATGTGGGAAGGGTGGAGGCAGCAGGTTGACTTTGAGAGGTTTAACAGCACTCAATTCGTCACCCAGCTCCAGCTCCACTTGTTTATTAGTGTACCTTAATTGCCACGATTCCTGGGTCAAAGCCAAGCAGCTGAACTATTCATGAAAAGCTTGGCACTATTTCTGACTTCACAGTATCAGTCAGACTCTCCCCTCATCAAACAGCCTGGATGAATAGGCTGTACTGTCAAAAATACTCAGAAATGTGCCAGGCATACCTCCATAATTCAATCTAAAAATTGTCAAGGGAATCGTTATTTACTGAGTTCACTGACATATAATAACTGCTGCCTAATTAAGAGGGTTCCAGCATGAATTTTACTTAACACCACACAGAACAAGAATGAAATGTTCAGCTTCAGCAATTTAACATAAAAGGTGCAAAATAAAATTTAAGAGCTATATAATCAAATACCCAACACATGTACTTGCACTAATGTAACCCCAGTGATAGCTCACACAGCATTCCTGTCTGAAGGGCTTGGAGAGCTCCAAACAAGACTTTTGCCAGAGGTTCACCTAGGTCAGAACAGCAAATCAAGCTAAATACACCCAACATGCCAGTATAAAAAAGACATATCCCCAAAATTGAGAGTTTGAACACCTGCAGCAGCCTGGACGAAATACACAGTACAGAGTAAAATGGTATTTTCACACAAGCTGGTTGCATTCAAAGAATGAAATCATGGCCCTTGAAGGCTGTAAAGAAGAAACAGTCTGGGCAGCAGGGCAGGTTTGCCTGGAAAACACACAGGGGAGCATCAGCATTTTGTGCTGTACTGACCCAAGAACACGGATGGCAACAATTCACTCACATGTTGTATGTGTCAAGAAAGCAGCACAAGTTTCTGTGAGTTATCTCTTGCTGCTCTCTCTTCATCTGAGGCTGTCAGAGAAGGATCCAGGCTATGACAGACTTGCCACTTCTTCCAGAAGAAGCAGGGAGGGAAAACCAGTACCCCTGCAGGAAAGCACTGAGGAAAGTGCTTCACAGCCCCACCTCATGCACAGGGAGGTTTTAAACAGAGATGCCCAGCACACATGTGAGCTACAGATGGACAGCACAGACCAAGGTACCTGTAACAGCCCCTGGTAACAAGGTGGGAGACCTGGGGTGGGGTCAGAAGCAACATGTCATTAGTACAACCACTGCCTGTTTCATCTTCTCAGGAAGTCACAAAAAGCATCCCAGATCACCCTCCTGATCTCAGCTCTGCACCTCCCTGCAGGCACTCACAATGTGCTTCTGTCCTTCCAGGAAGAAAAGGGGTTAAACCCAGACTAGAATAGATCTGTTGCCCTGGGAAACCACTGAGGGGCCACTACCAACTGCAGTGCCTGGAGAGAAGGTTCCTGGAGGATACGTGGGAAGTCAGAGAGTCCAAGTCCTGTCTGCCTGGAACAGCATCAGTGGAACAGGGGACAAGGACTGTCCCTAAATGGTGACAGCCACAGCAAGGCTGTGTTTGTATCTTCCTATCCAATGTCCTGGTGCTGGAGGGTAAGAAAATCATTCACAGCCTTCCAGGACCTGAAGGGAGCCCACAGAAAAAGATGGAGAGAGACTATTAACGAGAGCCTGTAATGACAGGACAAGGGGGAGTGGCTTCACACTGACAGAGAATAGGTTTAGATGGGATATTAGGAAAAAATTCTTCCCTGTGAGGGTGCTGAGGCCCTGGCACAGAGAAGCTGTGGCTGCCCCATCCCTGGAAGTGTCCAAGGCCAGGCTGGACAGGGCTTGGAGCAACCTGGGCTAGTGAAAGGTGTCCCTGCCCATGGCAGGGGATGAGTTTTAAGGTCCTTCCCAACCCAAACCATTCTAGGATTCTATGACCTGCCACAGAACAAGGAGTTGAGGTGAGAAAAGACTGCACAGGCAGCTCTGCCAGCTGGTAACTGGCTCAAGGAACAAGCAAAGGCTACTTTGGTGCATACTTTGAGAGGCAGAGACATCTCATGTCCCACCTTAAGGTGCAGGAATGGTGGGATGTAACATCAGGGGAGTAACATGACAAAAATCACACATTCTGCATTCCTTCTTTCTTTGCAAGGGACGTGGCAGACAAGGGGGTGGCTCAGGAGTGGTTCAGGTGCTACAAGAGCTCTTCTGTCTCCACCTGCACTTGAAGATTACAGTGGACATTGGGCCAAGCCCTACAGACAGTGTTGATGTGAGGTGGTCACAGATGCATGCACAGTTAGGAACCAGTGACTTTGTTGGGTGTGCCTTTGGGTCATGCACAGAGGTGCATCACAGAGCCTTCACAATCACATGTACAGAGCAAAGAGACTGACCACCTCTGGGAACAAAGAGCTGATCCAACGTTTTGATGGAAAAGGCAAAGCAGGATGACCAAGGGAGCCGAGGCCACCCGGTCTGACATCACTCCTGGATAAAACAATGGAAATGCTGGAACTTTTTGTTTGTCTGTTAAAGAATTAAAACATAAACATATCATTAACAGCAGCCATGACAATTTTTTAGAACTACGTTGAGTCAAACACAATTCCATCCTCGGAGGAGATTAAAAAGTTTGGCCAACAACTTAGCAGACATGCAGGATAAACATTAAGTATTGCTTGAGTTAGTACTGTGAGATCTGCATCACCCAGTGTTAGAGCAGGGATTAAATAAAGGAAGAACTAGTGACACCCCTATAGCACTGACTTTCACAGGGGAGATCACCATCAAACTGAGGCTTTACTATTTGGGGGTTCTGCAGAGCTCTGTCCACCTTAACACCCTCCAGGGCTGCAGAGCAGGCAGTCCCAGCACCTCCACCATGGGATGAACAGCTCCAAGGATCAAGGTTATCTCTGCTCTGCTGGAGAGGGAAGAGAAGGGATTTCCTTTCTCTCTTTCACAGCAACTCACCTCTCTCCCCTCGGCCACCTCTCAGGCCACACTCAGTGGTTTCATGATGTTCCTGTTCATGATGTTCCTCAACTCTCCATGATGTTCCTGTTGCTTCAGACACATTCCCAAACCACTACAGCTGCTTTTGTTCCATGATGCTATACAAATCCCAGAGCCCACACTGAAGCAGAGAAGCTGTCCCACAGTGCAACTTTTCCACAAAACACATTGTGCAATGAGTTGGTCTTCCTCCTGCAACTGGAAGTGCTTCCAGGGAAACAGTGAACAGCCAGTACCAGCCCCTCAAGTACTGCAGCTCTGAAATAAAGCTTCTGATCTAAGGCCAAACATGGGACACAAGACAGTCACAAGGAAGTCTTTCTCTGTTAATGCTTAACAGCAAAATTCCCACTACCCTTCTCCAAAGACAGAAAACACATGAGATGTCAAAGACTCAGAACTTCAACACCAATACCCACAGGTTTACTGTTTCTCTCCAAAGCTACTGTAAATATTCAGGATTTGGCAAAGCTCCGAATTTTGTCTGGTCAGAGCTTGGCGGGAAGTCCAGAGGGAACGTTTCCCCATGTTCCTCCATGGCTCCTCTCCTATGAGGACAGGCCAAGAGAGTTGGGGTTGTTCAACCTGGAGAAGAGAAGGCTCCAGGGAGACATTAGAGCCCCTTCCAGTGCCTAAAGGGTCTCCAGAAGAGCTGGAGAGGGACTTGGGACAAGGGGTTGGAGTGACAGGACAAGGGGGAATGGCTTCAAACTGACAGAGAATAGGTTTAGATGGGATATTAGGAAAAAATTCTTCCCTGTGAGGGTGGGGAGGCCCTGGCACAGGTTGCCCAGAGAAGCTGTGGCTGCCCCAGCCCTGGAAGTGTCCAAGGCCAGGTTGGATGGGGCTTGGAGCAACCTGGGATAGTGGAAGGTGTCCCTGCCCATGGCAGGGGGTGGAATGAGATGATCTTTAAGGTCCTTTTCAACCCAAATCACGCTGGGATTCTATGGAAAACCAAAAGCTTGTGAGGACTTTACCATCAGACCCTACCTTACACCTGGACATTCATCTCAGCATCATTTTATTGGGTGAAGGATGTGGTAAATTAAATAGTTCTGGAAAGAATGTGCAAACCTCAACCACTGGTTGTGAAGAAGCCAAGCTGGAGAGGGCACAAAGTGTCCTTATGTGCAGAGAGAGGGGAAGGAAAAGCCTCTAGCTCAGAACAGGAGAAAAGCACAAGACAGAATGTACCCTTGGGGACTGGCAATTAAAATCCCATTTTGGGTCTACATCAGTGCAAAATTAAATCGAGTCATGCTGGCAGTGTCATTGTCAGCACTGACAGAGCAGCAGCAGCACAAGGGCCTGTGAGAGCCTGTGAGGCAGAAAAAGAACTGATAGTGCCAGGAATTAGATGGATGTAAACCTGGACACTGTCAAGGTGTGTGTTCATTACATTCCAAATAGTCCAGAGCTGCAAGTCTGCTTGGGAGAATGGGACGTGCAACCACAGAAAGCAGAATGGCAGGACTACATGTAATAAACCTCAACAACTGCTCCTTTCACAGCAAGGCCACTCCCAGGGAAAAAGCCACTTCCCATTTGGCTTCTGAGAGATGTTACACTGCTAATGTGGATGCCTGCAGGGAGAACCAAATACCCTTTTCATTGCAAGTGTGTGAGGAAAGCAACTTTTTCCTAGAGAAGTACTTCACCCCTCAGCTCAAAAACCAGACAACATTCAGAGCTGTTTATCAATAGTTAGTTTTTTGGAAGTTCTTCCCTCTTTTCCTGTTCAATCAGTTTTGGAATCACAGGTTCTGCTCATTAAAAAAAAAAAAAAAAACAAACCAAAAAACCCCCAACAAACCAAAACAAAACCATCCTTCAGTTTTCACATAAAACCAAGCTGAGGGGTTTGTGTGGTTATGACTCAAACTGCTCACGTTACATCCACGCTCCCAGAGCCACCTTGGCTGGGAGCTGCAGCTGGAGCCCTGCCAGAGCTCCAGGCCTGAGCCTGGAACACACGATCCAGTGCAACTCCAGGATCGTTGGGAAATGCTCTGCCTGGACACGTGCCCAGTGCTCAGACCCAAACAAAGCACTGTATGCTGGGCCCTGCACCTCAGCCATCTGTTGGAAAGGGGGCAGCTGTGGATCCCAGCATGAGCCAGCGTTTAATCCAGCTATGCTGGTTTGGATCTCGGTGTGGAGCACTGAGAGGTAACAGATCTCCATGACTTATCCAGACCTCCTCCCCCTGTGCAAGGGACACAAGCCACCTAAACAACACTGGGACCAAACTTTATCTTGGCAGCAGGAGAAACCTGAGGAAGTTTCACTCTAGACCAATCAATCTTCCTGGCCTGTGGCTCGCTTCAGAACCAGCTCCTTTCTGTCTTCTTCTTGCACAGGAATGCAGGAAGTAATCTGTCTGTAGGGTTTATTGACCTGACTAATATCTTCCATTCTGATTTCAGGGCTTTGTTTACCACTCCAGTCTGTCCTGCAAAGACAGACACCTCACTGGTCCTGTTTGGAAACACAGATTGTTTGGATAAGGAGCACATAAACCACTTGAAAGCTCCAATCACAACGGAATGCAGGAACCTCTGGACACATTTAGCGACAAGGATCTGGAAGTCAGCTATTCTCCAAAATCTTATCAATACATTTGGGCTCTGGGTTGAATAAAGTGAAAGGTTCAGGCAATGTTGGTACCTCACAAGTCGCAGAGAGTCCTTGCGGATATTCACCAAACTCCTCAGCGTCTTCACTGGCTCATGTGGAGCTGGAGTTACATAGGGAAACTGGAACAAAAAGGCAAATAATTCTCCTGTTATTATACTATAAAAGGCAGCAGCATGTTGCCTGGCATGCAATTTACCCAAATCAAGAAGCGTCCAGCTTTCAGGGTACTCGGTACAGCAGAAGGAATAGCAATAGCAAATTCTATTTACAGATTGTAGTGGGTTTCTGTGGCTGGGTTTTGGTAGTGGGGGGGGACTACAGGGGTGGCTTCTTTTAGAAGCTGCTAGAAACTTCCCCTGTCCCGTGGAGCCAATGCCAGCCGGCTCCAGGAGGGATTTCCTGCCGCTGGCCAAAGCTGAGCCAGTCAGGAGCAACAGTAACACCTCTGGGATAACATATTTAGGAACAGAAGGTTGTTACGCAGAAAGAATTCCAGCCAGGGAAGAGTGGAGTGAGAACATGGGAATGACAATGTAGACACCAAGGTCAGTGCAGAAGGAAGGGCAGGAGGTGCTCCAGGCATCACAGCTGCAGACCCTGTGGCCTGTGGTGCAGAGCAGGGTGGGGCAGCTGTGCCCCTGTGCCCATGGGGGAGCATCGGGGTGCAGAGACATCCCTGCAGCCCATGGGGGAGCCCAGGCTGGAGCAGGTGGATGCAGGAAGGAGGCTGTGACCCCGTGACAGGCTCAGGATGGAGCAGGTGGATACATGAAGGAGGCTGTGACTCTGTGGTAAGCCCAAGATGGAGCAGGGTCCTGGCAGGGACCTGCAGCCTGTGGAGAGGGAAGCCCAGGCTGGAGCAGGTTTTTCCCGGGTAGGACTCGTGGCCCCTGTGGGGGACCCACATCAGTACAGCTCATCCATGAGGGACTGACCCCGTGGAGTTTGGGAAGAACTGCTGCCCAAGGGATGGACTCACGGCAGAGAGGTCCATCCAGGACTGTCCCACGGGAGCAGGGGAAGGAATCCTCTCTCTGAGCAGCAGCAGAAACAACTGACCATAACCCTCATTCCCCATTCCCTGCACCTCTGGGGGGAGGAGGGAGAACATGGAAGGAAGGAGGGGTGGGGGGAAGGTGTTTTTAAGACTGTTTTATTTCTCACTCTTTGGCTTTTATCCTGTTAGGAATAAATTTAAGTACTATCCCCACTTGGAGTCTGTTTTGCCCATGAAGGTGATCAGTCACTGAGCTCTCCCAGCTCTCATCTCTACTCATGAATCCTTAGCTGTATTTTTTTCCTCTCCCCTCTGTCCAGTTGCAGAGGGAGAGGGAGAGAGCAGCTTTAGTGGGTACCTGGCATCCGGCCAGGATCAACCCCCCTACACAGATAAATCAAGCATTTTTCAGGATGAAAATTCTGCCCTGGCCCAGCAATTGGGAGCACACATTTTAAGAAGGAGCATTTTCACAAGCTCTTGTTCTGCACCCTGAATTCCCAGTCAGGAAAGCACTGCCCTCACAAGCTTTTGTTTCCACTAGAGAAACCACCTGCAGCTTGAGCAGAAGAAATGCAGCTCTTTCATGTGTGTTACAGCATGCAAACAGTGATCTGACTGCTAATCAGCACGGAGAAGCCCTGGATTACTGGGGGAAACTCTTTTTATTCTGAAACAATGGGGCAAATGTTCTGGAAAAGAAAAGAGACAGGGATAGGGGGCCTCTTTCCATTCTACAGTCAAGAAACCTTCTCTCACAGATTGTCCTTTAAATAGGGACATTATTGCTTCAGACTGTAATTCTCCCTACAGGGCACAGAATCTCTGGTGGGAAATGCAAAGGAACTGCTTGTTGTGGTGATCACAACCTGTACAGCTCCAGACCTGCCTGCTGGGGCCCAGGGACCACCAACACACGTTTCTTTAGAAATGAGGAGGCAAGGCCTCCCTTACTCCAAAGCAAGAAATGGGCCCACATCCAGAAAACAGTTTTGCTGTTCTGTGTTCAAGTGTGGGTTTTTTTTTTCCTTGAAGATTAATCAGAGCTGCCAAAGGGCTTTAACTTTACATAGGCAAACTATATTCCACAACAGGTTCCTCTTAAACCTACTTGGCAAACATCCCATGGTGTTAATGGCATCTCACACACTCCCCTCTGGAGAAGTGATGAAATTCAGTGCTGGGATGTCAGCAAGGAAACCCACACTGAGACATGCAGGTAATTTAACCCTGCAGGGTCAGTCCCTGCAGCCACAGGCAGTGCACAGGGGATGTGTGAGCAATCCCCAGGCCTGCATGGCACTGATACATCCAAAACAATTTCCAGCTTCAATTTCCCTCCTTGCTAATTCTCTTGCCCAACTACACTTTCTGTATGAACAACGACTTTTCCAGGTTCTTCCTTGTCCTGCCCTGCAGAGTCCTGGTAACTGCCTGTGGTGCTGAGAAGACCAAGGGCACAGCCTGAAGGGGAACTCAGAAAGTAGAATGTTCTTGTCACTGTTCCAATTCAAACTCTGAGTCATCTTGCCTCAGTTTCCCCCACCTGTAAAACCAGAGTGACCCCAAACTGCCTCCGAGCACTACAAACATAAACTAAACAATGGTCATGGCTTTTCTGAGGAGAACCACAACTTCAATTTTTCATTTCCATGTTTTGAAGTTGCAGAAACAACTAGGAAAACAGCTGGCAAAGCAAGCAGCTCTTTTCCCTTTCCTCTCCAGCACTCTGCAAACAACTCCAAACTGCTCCTACTCTGTTACCTTCTGGTTCTTTTTAAGCAGTTCTGAGAGGCAAGAGAAATCCAAAACATAACTCCTGTCTGTCCCTCACAATGGTGCTATGCCTTGTTCAAGAACAAGCACTTGAGCAAGCAGCTTTTCACAGTCTCACAGACATCTGTGGACACAGAAATACCTCTGTGTTCCACCTGGGAAAACTAAAGGAGAGAAGGAGAGACTTTCTGAGCTGCCCACTGAGGTTACAAAGCAAACTAAAACACACCAAATATCAAGATTTGTCTTAACCCTGCCCTATACCCAGCCAGGCCACTCATTTAGAAAGAGAACAGCACATGTTGAACACTGGTTGCAAGCCATCCAATACACACAGGAGCTTTGGGAAGTTCAGGCTCTGAGGGTGGATCTGCTTCCCAGCCTTCTCTACAGCCTGTTTTACACTTGCTCAGGCAGGCAGGCAGGCAGAATTACTCTCAAATTCTGTGCTCCTGAATCCCTGTCCTTCTTCCCCCACTTGCTAATTCCTTCTGTCCTAAGTGAAAATAAGCCTAGAAGGGGAATACTGCTTGGGAAAACTCAGCTTGGATCTGAACAGACTGGAATGACACTCCCCAAGCAGTATGGACCCCCTTGGGTCTGTGCCATCCTCCTCTACAAGCCCTACACAAGGTTTTCCAAAACAGGCAGGAAACAGAAGAGTAAAACAGAACACAGGGACTTGCCTGAACAGGTCTATTCCCGAGGAAGTTCAGATCCATGTTCTCACCAAAAAGGTAGCCCTCGGGGTGAGGGGTGTCAAACTTCTCACCTCCCATAAAGAAGTGACTTGCAAAGTAGTTTCCTAGAAAAAAAGCAAAACACAAGGAAATTAAAACAACAACAAAACAAACAAACAAACAAACAAACAAACCACCACCCAAGCTTAAAATGAGTGGTGCTTCCCAGATAAGTCTGTACAGTTTTTAATCCACAAGTATAAAAGAGCACAAGACAGAGAAAATACTTGCTAATTCAGTCTTTCCCTGTACTACTGAGGGCCACTGCCAACAGTAGGAGCAGGGGAATAAACAAAACAAAACAAAAACCTGGAATAAATCATTACACTGGAGATAATTCCATTTTAACTTGTTTTCCAGAGAAGGGACAGGGAGCAGTAAGAGTCAGCTCTTTCCAATCCATCCATTCTGATGAATTCTTCCTGTTTTCTCCACTTTCCAGTGTAAAGCCCAGTCCCACAAACACCATCAGCCTGCTCAGAGAAGGATGAGGGTTCTTCCCACTGCAAAGCCTGGCATAGCCAGAGGGGCTCCTTCCCTCCCCTCTTTCACTGCCAGATCCCAGGCAAGAACCACACAAAACCTTCACACCTTGATGCTGAATTCAATTAATAACACTATCAGCTCTGAATGCAGAAACATGAATTTCTGGAAGAGATACACAGGGACTGAGGACTGATACAGGACTGATACACAGGAAGAGATACACACTGACTAAAGGGAACTTCAGCTCTGAAAGTCTCACCACAATTTCTTTTAATTCATCTCTAAGGTGATGCACTAAGGTTCAAATTTCAGATGAAGTGTGTGCAAGGTCACTGGGATTCCAGAGCACTGGATTAACTCCAAAGCCAACAGAATCAACTCAGGTGCATGAGAGCACCACAAACACAGCTTCCTCCTAGAAAGACTCCAGGAAAGCACTCTCAAACATGAACTTCACAGAGCTACAATTTCAGAGACATGAGTATCAGGAGAGAACTAAAATAAAAAGCCTGCATCCAAGTCACTTCCCTTCAAGTTCCAGAGCGGGATAAGAGAACTGAGCCACATGTACATTCACTCCCTGGGTGCAGTGCACAGACAGCATAAATTTGTGCTCAAACGAGCCATTCCAGAAGCAGTAACTAATCATCTGAGTGGCTGTGGAGGCACTCTGGGGGGATTTGCAGTCCCTCTAGGCAGGAGCAAGCATGATTACTCTGAAATGGAAGCGTTTCCATGAATGGCTCTGTTTTTTCCATTAAGGCTTTTTTCCTTTATGCTTCAAGAAAGGCACAGATGGCAGGGCCTTAATGATGACAGTAGTGCTCAGCTTTGCTGAGCTCAGCTTACAAGCATCCAGATGTTTGTAGTGCTGAAACACCATCCTTCTTTCCAGTACAACAATCACCTTCAGCACAGGTCCACAACCCACTTAGAATCAAACCTATGGAGTCGGAATAACAAAATCACAGAATCACTGAGCTTGGAAAAGACTTCTAAGGATCATCGAGTCCAACCTTCGACCAATCACCACCTTGTCAACCAGAGCAGAGCACTGAGTGCCACATCTGGTCGTTCCTTGAACACAAATGCAGGTGTTTCAAATCACAGGGAATCTTTTCCCACCCCTCCTAGAAGCAACAAATTAAAGAGCTGATCTGCATATAATCTCCAAGCACAGCCAGCCTGACACAGCCTCTCCAGATGAGATACACCACAGTGGTTTGTGCTCACACCGGTTCTGAAGAGCACGAGGAACGCTGGGGGTTAGGAATAGATTTCACATTTTATGTGGGTCAAGTAGCATTATGTTTTGGAACATTTTATTTGATTAACTGTGAGGACAGTGCTTGTGCAGGATGTCTCAGTACCACAGCAGCTGGTTATCTGGGATCAGACTTGGAGAACTCCCTCATGAGTGAATGAGGCAGAAACAGTACGGCCTGGATTGGTAGGGACCTTAAAGCTCATCTTGTTCCACTCCCTGCCATGGGCAGGGACACCTTCCACTACACCAGGTTGCTCCAAGCCCCATCCAACCTGGCCTGGAACACTTCCAGAACTGGGGGAGCCACAGCTTCTCTGGGCAACCTGTGCCAGGGCCTCACCAAATATCTAATCTAAACCTACTCTCTGTCAGTGTGAAGCCATTTCCCCTTGTCCAGTCACTCCAGGCTCTTGCAAAAAGTTCCTCTCCATCTTTCCCATAGGCTCCCTTCAGGTCCTGGAAGGCCTCAATTAGGTCACCCTGGAGCCTTCTCTTCTCCAGGCTGAACAATCCCAACTTTCCCAGCCTTTCCTCCCAGCAGAGCTGCTCCACCCCCCTGATCATCTTGGTGCCTCCTCTGGACTCACTCCAACAGCTCCATGTCCTTGCTGTGCTGGGACCCCAGAGCTGGAGCAGCTCTGCAGGTGGGGTCTCACCTGAGCAGGGCAGAGGGACAGAATCTCACCCTCCTCTGCTGCCCACGCTGTGGGATGAGCCCAGGATGTGGTTTCAGTGCATCTCCAGGCAGCCTCTCCAGCACCTTGGGATGAAAAGGTTTCTCCTGTATAACTGGAACAACTTCCAGACACAAAACTAGCATGTTTAAGTCACCTGCCACACTGTCATTGTTCCACTAAGAACTACTTTAGGGATCTCTAACAAATTGTTAGGATTTTTCACAAATACACTCTCCAACACAGCAACTGGAAACCACAGCTGCAGTTCCACGTTCAGACTGAACCTCTTTTCATCTTCTAAGTCACCTTCTTCAACGTGAAGGATGGTTTTTTTTTTCCCCAGAGGCACTTCCCTCAAAAGCAAACAAGAAATGCAGTCAGTGCCAGCCACAAAGAGCACAGGGAAAATCACTCTGAGGAGCTCCTGGTGAGCAGAACAACCCCTGGGCTCTGCCAGGGTTGCTGTACAACACAAAACCTGCCACAGGCTCAAGGTCTCAACAGCCAGACTAACAGACCAGAATGGCAGCAAACTGTCTCCACAAATTTATAACACGGTTTTCAGCAGTTAAAAAAAGATATTCTATTGCAAGCTTTCAGAAACCAGTTGCTACAACAACACATGAAGTTCAGAGCTCTTAAGGTAAGTCCAAACTTATGCATTAATCCTCTCAACCACTGTCACAAACAACTCTCAGTTTGCCCAAGTTGAAGACAAAACACTTTAAGGAAGCATTTCTGTAAATATCACACCAAGAACTAAAAGAAAAAGGAAATTTTGAGACAGAAAATATGAGGCATCCTCTTTTCCAGGTATCCACACATTTAGGATTTTTAGTGTCTCTAAAAAGCTTGTATTTATTTTCTATGCATTAGAATCCTGCTGCAGCTCCACCTCTAGGTTCCATTTCCAAATCCACTACAAAGACAGCTTTAGGATTTTAGCCAGGCTGCCACACCTCTTGAGCCCTGTTCCCACAAGTTCCCTCAACCTATAAAACCACCTTGACCTATCTTAGGCAGGTGTTGCAAGGCCAGCTTTACACAGAGCTCTGTAGCTGTGGGCAGAAGGGGGATGCAAAGTGCCATCCTCTTTGGCAGGAAAAAAAGAAAAGCAAAAAATCCTCGGATTAACCCTCCACGGAATTGCTACAAACGGAAATCCTCCAGGAAAATGCAGTGACACACTTACCAGGAGAAGAATCATACATAAATAAACAAGGATTGAATAGGATAAAAATGCCAGAGCAAAAAATAACTGTGGCTTTAGTTCCCCAGAGTAAATCAGGACAGAACACAAGGGAGCATCAGATAAAAGAGAACAGGAATGGGTGACACTGCTGAGGTCCAAGCAGTGGTTTTAAGAGAAATTATGGTGGAAGACTTTACAGTGGCTGGAAAAACAGCACTGGGACACCCAGAATGGCCAAGTCTGACTCAATAGTTTGTCCCATCCAAAACCAAACTGGAACCCCAGGCTCCTCCTTGATGCCCATCAAATGACACCAAAATAGTGAATATTTATGACAACATAGTGGTGGGGTTTTATTATCATAAAGGCACCAGCATTAAGCACCAGACTGCTCCAGTCACAATTACCTCTCCCTAACCCAGCACCCTAATCCCACGTTCATGCAACCCCAACACATGGCTGTGATACAGGAGTGACACAAACACCCTACAAGGACCAGGAGCACAGAGTCGACAGAGCAACTGTAACCTCAGCAAAACACGGGCTGAGTCCCACAACGTTCATTAAGAGAAAGCAATTAATGTCCATTTAGGCTTCTCACCATGAATACAATTAACAGTGAAGTGACAGAAATTGAGTTCCTTTTAATTACTCAGCCAGACACTCCACCACAGCACGCCGAGGGAGGGACTGTCAGGCACAGCCTGAACCAAGATCCTGGCTGGATGAGGCCATCCCACCTTCCCCACCACCTATCCCTGCTGGGCCACCAAAAGCCACCATGTAGCAAACAGGAATGTGGCTCTGAGCTGAGATAAATATCATCCAGCAACAGACTTGTAGCAAAATCAACTGGCTCTGGTCCACGAGCGCTTCAGTGTGGTGCTCATGAGGAGCTGGGGAGAGGGCAGGAGGGAATGTCCCAGTCAATGGCAGGTGGTGGTGGCTGTCACCAGCTCCAGGACACAGTAGGAGTAATGGAAAGACTACTCCACATGCTCTGGGGAGAGAGCGAGCAACAACAGCTCTGTCTGAAATATAGAGACGTGTTCCTGTTGTGACAATGTCACAGCACACATGGCTCATGAGCCAGGAACAAGGTGATGGACTCTGGGTACTCCTCTCCTATTTAAAACTGCTCCTTCTTTGATTAAAGCCTCATTCCCAAACAACACACCAGTTCAGCTTCAGAGAGGAGTAATCTCCTTTTTTCCCCTCCCAAAAATCTCCAGGGAATACTCTTCCAAGAGCTTACTCCAGAGGAGAAGAGGCATCCCAAGGGCAGATGCTCCTTGTCCCGCTCCACGCTGCAGAGGAGCTCAGTGGAACAGGAGTGGAGCTCTTGAAGGAGCTGTGGGAAGCACTGGTGCATTGCTCACTGGCTCAAAAGGCATGTGATACCATAAGCACAAACATGGATCCTTTCACTGCCTCAAGC